CGGCGGCTAAGGGAATATCTAGCTCGACGCAGTGGTGCCGGCCTGCTCTTCGGGCTGCAGAGAGAGGGAGGCATGAATACTGATGCCGTTCCCTTTGGCCGGACTACGAGGTACCACAGACCAGTTTGAACAGGTCACTTCGAGGAGTCTGGTACTTTCGATTCGACCCAAAGACTCGCCCTTGTCTTGACATCACTTCGAGACGCACCTTGGCAGCCAGAAGCTGTTCCCATCGGTACGTGTGGTGCGGGTGTACGTGTGAGGGCGTCTTCACTAAGACCGCGGGTAGTTGTCTCCAACGGACTGCGTCCCGTAGTCCATGATATTATGCGTCTGACACGTGCAATGACATGACTAAATGCAGGTCTTCACGGAGGTCGTTCGACACTTTTCCACTCAAACAACTTGTTAATCAGTTCAGGATTTGGAGGCCGTCGGCCCCGCTGGCATTCAAATCACGTTGCTTGCAGAAGACGTGTAAGAGGGCAGGGGGAACTTCATATACGATATGTTTTGTTGTACAAGGTTCAAATCGCGTCATGCTACGCGATAATATCCCAGCAAGTGAGTTTTGGAGCTCTATCGCCACCGACAGGCAACTGTTAGTACTACGTGGGAGACTATTTATGCCACATAGCATGCTTTGGAGCTCTGCTACCTGTTGTGATGGATCTCCATGGAGTTGCTTCAGCAGGTTTGCCCGAGCCTTTGCTAACCCAACAATAGCAACGCGGGCCGCATACTGTGTCTCGCCTAGTCACTTCTCCTTCAGAATACAGAGCACGGTTACTACTGCTTGCTGCGGCTGAAGATGGCCGCAGATTCACCGCAAAGCGTGTCCGAGTCATTCTCTACGACGCCACGAATCACCCCTGAACCGGCAAGTTGAAGCTGTCAAGCCCCGCACCTGTCCTCTTGGACGACAGCAGTCTTAGAACCCAGAGATATCTCTGTTTGCCAGGGTTGGCAGTTGAGGATAGACAAATAGAGAGACAAACGCAGGGCATTTTGGGGGCCAAAGTCTCTTTGCTCCACCCAATCATACCCTTGGACTCAGCTTAAGCAAACAACAGACGTGGTCGTAACCCGACATCGCCTTTGATCTGCGTACGAGGCGCCAGTGGCGGCGGTCGTGTCTGGTACGGGAATCGACGTATGTAGGGCATCAGCAAACGAGGAAGTTTGGGGGTATGAGTGCAATGTAAGGAGAAGGGAGCCCCTGGTGAACGGGATGAGCAGTCACAAATGGCTCACCATGTCGCTTCTCTTTGTCATTTGGACCAGGGCCACCTGCGACCTCCGCCGTAGGCAGAGATGCGTGAACCAGAAAAGCAACACACGCACCGGCACAAGACTGATCAGCGGCTTAACCTAGAGTCAGTCACGTCCGTGATATTCCAATTCATTCGTCTTGTAATAGTGACTTACACTGCTGCCCTAGCCTTTGGGGTTTTCCGTATAAGTAGGGTCTGACTGACTGACAATCACCACTCCACAGCATACATAGCAGACGGGATCATGGGCTAATCTCTCCATCAGCACAATGTGGAAATTGGTCCCAGACAACTTCCAGCCTCACCGATATGCTGTGCTCCCGAAAGAGCCTTTACCAAGGTGCATGTCCCTGTCCGACGTAGCAATTGCAGGTCTGATAGCTGCAGAGAGACAAGATGCTCCAGCGAGGGCGAGGAAGCGGAGCTCTGGGCAACAAAATGGGGAGCCTTTAGCCCCAGCTTGCCAGGGATCCGTCGGCCTTAGGACAAGCGCGGCATCAGCATCATGACCGTTGTTTTTGCTGGCCTTTTCTGCCTCTGCAAACCCCCAAAACCGGCCCAAGCAATGCCCCCCAACGCTGGGTGGAATATCATCGACTCGACTGCATGTGCGTGGCCTTCGTCCGAACTGCACATCAGGCACACTGGATGGAGGTACGCGGGTACCGCGAGGCCGCATCATGTGATCCGGCAGATGGCCCAATCCAGCCAGATGCAGCACCACCACGGAAACCCCCCAGTTGATGCTCATGCACGGCAGCAGCCCAGCTCGAAGCTTGCAAAGCGGCCGTGACACAGAATCGACAATCCTCGCTCCTTCGCGCAAGTCTCAGCCAGCTGCGGAGGGGCTTGAAGGAACCGAAGCCCATCGCTAGCCTTGCCACGAACGGGCCGAGTCTGACTGGGCAACAGGAGCAAACCGCAGCGGCCTGGGGTGACAGAGGCCAGCAGGCTTGGTGGGCGAGTGCCTCCCGCGAGAGTCAGGCACAGGAGCGTATACGAAACCGGGGAGCAGCCAGTGGTAGGTATTCTTCCCAGAACCCAGCCCCCGTAGCCCGCGCTCTCTCTCTCTGCCTCCCCCTTCCTGATCCTCAAGCCCAGGCCCAGGCTCCACGACCTGTTTCGATTCGCTCAGGCCGTGCCCATTGACTGATAAAGGCACTGCCATCTGCCTCTAGTAAGGCCCTGGAGACGGCGGGCACCTACCTGTTAGCTGAGACAGACGTTATACCACACATCTGCAAGATGGAGCTCAGCCAACAGTCGATTCACGATGTCATCCATCCAACGGCAGCCTTCGCGGACGAGAGCATCTGGGAGAAGTCGGCAACCACTGCCGCCGCCCAGGCTGCCAGAGAGACGCCGTGGGAAGAGTCTCCACTGAATCCCAAGAACCGCATCGACAGTCTCGAGCCTCCAGCGCGGCCCCTGTGGCGAATAGACGGCTGTACTGCATTTGGGACTCAGTTCTATGCCGTGCCGCTCTTCATGGGCTCGATTCCCCCATTCCGTGTGGATGTCTTCATTCCTGAGCCCGCGACGCTCTCTCACGAGCTCCGCAGCGTCCTCGACATGGACGTTGCCTTTTACACGCGAGACGCATCCCGCATCTCACAGCTTGGCGTTACCCAGCATGTGCTCCGGCTGCTCCAGTACTGGACCTCGACACTGGACGACCCGCAGCAGATATACCAAAACATGCCCTTCGGCTCCAGGATCGTCTTCAACAACCTGCCCAAGGATGTCAGCCAGGTCCGGGTATCCATGGCCCCGACGTACTACCTCGAGCGTCAGATGCTGTCGGTATCCTCGTTCCAGAGCTTCTGGGGGTCGCACGTGGACCTTCCACCGACTGTCGATATCCATGACGTCGTGTATCTGACACAGTTGCACGACAGCGTCTGCCTCATTGAGTATGAGGGCAAGACGTGGATCTTCAAGGCCCTGACCAGCTACACCAAGTTCCTATACCATGAGTTGCGCCAGCTCCTCTCCATCAAGGCTCACCCCAACGTTGTGGCACGACCCGTTCACCTCATCACGAAGAAGTGCACATTTGGCAGCAAGACGGCCGTTATCGGTTTCACGCTCGAGTTGCACGTCCATGGCAGCTTGCGTGACCTGATTCCCTTTTTGCAGGTGCACAACCAAGTGTCGCTGGCCGACAAGGCCAAATGGTCTGTCCAACTCGCCTCCGCCTTGGTGCACCTACGCGAGACATGCCACATCTTCTATCCGGACCTCCGGCTTGACAATATTGTCCTATCGGGGTCGGGGGATGTGGTCATGGTCGACTTTGAGCAGCGTGGCGTTTGGTGCGAGTTTGCCGCCCCCGAGGTCAACGCCATCGAGTACGTGCGACTGTTGGCAATCGACGACGAGATTCCTCCGCACGTTGTGGAGAAGTATGCCGGCATATTGACGAGCATGCTTCCAGGGTGGGAGGAGATGGGCCAGGGAGAGGACTACGTCTGGCCGTCCGAGGGGTACAACGTCCCATGGGCCTGCCTGACGCCTCGAGAACAGGAGGCCTGCGAGGTGTACATGCTCGGCCGCGTGCTTTGGTGCATCTTCGAGTCCGAAAGCGCCCCCCAGCGAGCCGCCGTGTGGCTCTCGTACCGCTGGGAGCCCTTGGTCGAGTTTCCCGGGTACACTCGCACGCCGCCGGCCATGCGCGACCTTATTGACCGGTGCACGCGCGGCCGACAGGCTGGGCTTAGCAGGCTCATCGTGCGTCGCAGAGACAAGCTGGTGCTGCGAGAGTTTGAGAACACTGGGGAGTCGACGGCGCAGGAGGTCCAAAACGTCGCCCGCGACTGGTGGGCAAAGGAAATTGCTGACTCGGAGGCGTGGCTCAAGGAGCGCGCCGAGGGCTTGAAGAGGGGAGACTGGAACGAAAACTATTACAGTCGACCTAGTCTGCGCGAGGTCCACGAGGAGTTGGAGAAGTTTCGCAAGGAAAACAATCTGTGTTAGGCTATAGGTAAGGGAAAAGAAGAAAGAAAAAAAACATGTGACCGTCCCTCTCTCCCTCAAGGCGCTCAGCCCTACAGGTGATCCGAGGGGTGGCCCAGGCTTGCGCAGGACTTGACTCAGAAGTCACCCCTCGTCATGAGCATTTGATGGCATGTAGTGGGAAGGGAGGATCATATAAGCGAGTACACGGTTATCAAGGCGTTTGTGATTATTTCAATGACATGTTGCTGCTTTCTCTTTTTTTCTTTTTTTCTTTTGGCAGATTGATGTTTACTGCGCTGTGAAGGTTGCCTCGAAGTCGAATGATGATTGTAGTAATTACTATGTACCTGCAGTAGTAACTACCTAGAATCTGCCTACTCTGAGCACGCTTGTTGTTACATTGGCCCTGAACGTGTTCGGGGGCCGGAGAATTGAGAGACGAAAATTGGAAAGACGAAGATGAGGGACAGGGGAGATGATGGCAGGACCAATACCGCAACCAGTGCAATAACAGTAGACATCGAAGGAAAAGATACAAAGAGGAGAAGAAGAAGAAGAAGAAGAAGAAGAAGAAGAAGAAGAAGAAGAAGAAGAAGAAGAAGAAGAAGAAGAAGAAGAAGAAGAGAGAAAGTGGGAAATCGAGAAAGAAGAAGAAAGGAAGAAGAAGAGAAAGGGGTAGGTGAAAGAAGAAGAAAAGTAGACAAGAAAAGAAAGAAAGAAAGAAGAAAGAAACAAAGATAGATCCCCTCCTGACAGGTACGACCTCCCCTACTTCATCCTCTTTGACTCCCTAAAAGCACCGCCCTCATCCCCAGCATCACCCTGCCTCTTCAATCCACCGCTGCTCCTCCTCCTAGTCCCCTTCAGCCTTCCGAGCAGCGCCTTGAACTTGTCGAAATACCCAACCGGGGCGCCGTGCATCCCAATGTCCTCGAAGATGGCCTCCAGGGTGTGTAGGTGCTGGCTCGCCGCCTCTGGGATGAGATCCAGTTCCGCGAGGACAAAGTCTGCGTCTCTGTCTGCGTCTCCTATAAGGCGCAGATACAAGTTTCGCTCAGTACGACTCATTGGTGCCGCCGCAGGATGAGTAGGAGAAGGAGAAAGCGGAGATTCAGAAGTGGCAGGGAGGGGCGAAACGTCGTGGTTGCGGGCGGCAACGGCGGAAAGAATATGCACCAGAGTACGAGCGGCAGCATCCTCCTCGTTGGGCTGAAGAGGCCGATTGCGGGTGAAGATGCAGCTTCTGATGAGCTTGATGCACCCAAGCATGTGCTTTGCCGCCCAGGAGACGTCGGGGGGTGTCTCTGCTGAGCGTCTCGTGGCAGAGGCGGGATCGGCGGCATACGCGTCGAATCTGCGCAGCACGCGGTCGATTCTCTGTGTGAGCTTCCTGAAGGTATCGCTGACGGCATCTTGCGGACGGGATACTGCCGACTGGAAGTAGTCAAAGAAGTGGGGGTTGTCGAGCAGCATACGGAGCACGGTGCAGTCCAGATCGTTGCGCTTCACCACTTTCTTCTTTCCGAGCAGTCGTCTTCCATCGAGATCCGGCCGGAATTCGTCTGGAGTCATCCCATAGACGGCGGCCAGGAGCTCGCGTGTTTCTTGCACCCGGTGAGAGGCAATTTCATCTTCATTCCCGTAGACGGACTCCGGGTCAATGACTTGACAGTGCAGACCGGCGGACAGGACATCAAGATGATGCTCCGCAATGGCCGTGAATGGATCGCCCAGCTCTTCGGCGAAGCCAGCCTCCATCATGGTCAGCGGTGTTTTGGCGTCAAAGTCGTAGAGCATCTGCTGCGTGAGCCGATCCATGAGCCAGAATAGGTGCGAGCAGGGCTCTGCAGCGTCGCTGTCGTCGTCGTTGCGTCCGCACGAGCAGGTGATACGAGATGCCCCCTCGCCAGTGGCATGAATGCGAACTGACTGGGTGACGAGTTCAGTCATCTGAAAGGCATATGTGTTATCGATGAGCCGGCACTGTTGCAGCGCAATTGCCGGTGGCTCGCCGAAGACATCGCGTACAGCATCCTGTGCTTTTTCAGGAAGGTGATGGATGTTGTAGGCCAGCTTGGTAGGGGACTGTACGACCATGGAAAGCTCGTCTTCGTCTTCGGACTCATCCGAGCAGGACTCAAGGTCGGAGCTCGAATCTTGTAAGGTTGGATCAAGGCACTCGTATGACTGTAGGCCAGTATGGAAGGCCGATTGGTTGGTGGGAGACATCTCTTCGAGGGTCAATTTGCTGAAGGGAGTGACCGGCACTGACATTGGGCTGGCCGTGAAGTGAGAGAAGTATATCTGATTTATGTCTTGAGTATGTGACTTGATGATCATCAGACAATGGACTAGAAGGTGGAACTTGAAGCGACTTTATAGAGAAAGATGAGAGTATCATGTCAAGGGGGAGTCTTACCTGTCTCAACCAACAGCATAAAGGCCACCGGTCGAAGAGGGACGACAGAGCCTCACCCTTCCCTGCCCGATGTGTGTAGGCAAAAGAAGAGGCCTGATGCATACATCGGACGATGCGAGCAGTAGCCGCAAGAGCCAAAGTACTGTATCATACAGTATGTCACTGGCCAAGGAGACTGGGAGCTCGGAGTGCTGCTTGCGGCCGAGCCCATATGGAGCCTCATCAAAAGCCACCAAGCTCATACGCCAATGGGGCCACAGAAGAAAGCAAAAGTCACCTTGCGAAGTGGCTGTGAAGACATCGAGAGCAGCGAAGCCTAAATCCCAGCGCAATGGAACGGCCTCTGACTGGTCGTCGCCAAACTCCGTGAACGAGACCGGGGGCCCTCCAGCCGGCGATGGTGGGTCCGGGACGGAGGGACGGAGTGTTGATGTGGTGAGAGTCGGCTTTGATAGGAGGAACGTGTCGTGGCATGCTTCAGCCTCGCATATTAAGCACTGGGATGAAGAAGACAGGCTTCGATCTTCATTGGATCGTTTGTATGATGCCAGCTGGAACAACAAGCCACTGTTGGACTGCCCCATGCCATGATTCCATGCATGATCTCCCCGTGTTCCTCACGGCAAGCGAGACAAAGGACCTATGTATCAACACCAATCAGCATGCGTTGTAGCCAGTGTCTGCCAGCATGATGCCATCCAAACGGCATTAGCTGGACATCGTCAGGCTGTTTGAACATACATGATGCCAGGAATTCCATGGTCAGCCTCGTCTTCATGCCGTTTGCAGATCAAGATACAGCACAGCGGCCGTTCCTGGAGCCACGGCCAGGCCGCACGGCTGCATCTTGGCGCCGACAAACTGGACAGCCCTGCTGTTGCTGCTGCTGCTATTTCGCGATGTCGTGACCACAAAAGGAGGCCTGAATAGCATGCCCGTCAGGCAGCTTTTTCGTGGAAAAACGTCTCGTCTTCTTCTGGCGCGGATTCTTCAGCGTCCAGAAACAGGTCGATGTTGGTTCGACGTTGGATGATCATCTTCGGACGGAGCAAACGGTCGATGCTTGGGGATAAGCGCGCTCCACACCGGCCGGCCGCAAAAGGCGACCGCCTGGAACCGCTGCGCCACAACATTTGCTGTGAAGCTCCAGCAGTCGAGTTTCAACCCCAGTGCCTCGTTACAGCGCTCTCGAGCGCTAACCGTCGCCTGCTTCAGAGCACAGCACTTCCTCCCCTCCAGGTTTCTGCCGCCTGCACCGCCCGCCAAATGCCCACCACGGCCGGCCGTATCTGCGGCCCGGTCTCCATCTTCTTCGCCCTCTGAGCCAAGCTTGAAGACAAGACTCATCCAGCACGGCACGCTTCCAGAAAACACCGCCCTCGAGCAAGAGGCCTTCTCTGCGGCCTGCCTGGTAGGACGAGCGGTAGGACCGGCTGGAGCCTCTGCAGAATCGAAGACATCTCGCGCTCTCGCCCTTTTGGCTGGTAAACTCGCAAGGCGTTTTCCATCGCCGCTGAGGCAAGCCGTACAAGGTACGAAGTATCAAGTAACTGCCTGTTCAGTTACTGTGAATTGTGTGAAGTATCAGCAATCGCTTAGAGGCGAGATGGAGGCAGAATTGGGGTCCTGTCGTTGGCAGATACTTGCTTTGTAGCGTTTGCAGTAGCGTCAGTGTCAGTTGGTTGTGAGGCAAGCCTTCGAGTTGCGATATCATATGATCCCGGAATGCCATGATATGAAGCTTGCACGGCTGCCTCCCTGACAGACGAGATGACATGTGTCAATGTCATGATTATCAACAAGTTACATGTTTAGTCTACTGATACTTCAGCTCAACGCAGGCAACCAGCTTAGGCCGGCCATTCAGTGTGCTCAGGCACTCTTTGATGTAGATGTAGGTAGGTGCATCGTGGTATCACAAGCATGTTCCAATACATTCACGTCTTTACATAGGTAGTACCAGATGCACCAGCAGGTAGTGTCTTGGAGCAAGTGCCAAGAGTTGTGAACCGTTAATCCAGTAGATTATACGCCATGTACCGTACGTCATTAGGATTCGAATACCCCGAAATAGCGACATCCATCATCGACAAATACTTGTGTCTCCACTACTGGACGAGTAAACGCCTTAGCGAGTTGCGAGATACCGGCATTGAGGCACCGACACACCCAGACAGAGAGAAGAGAGGAAATGAATTGGCCAAAAAGGGGGAAACGCGTTTGCGTTCTTCTTGCTAAGGCCACGGAGGGCACGAAAAGACTGCTAGTAAACATGACCGCAAGGTAGGCCTCCGTCCAAATTCCGAATCAAGCAGTTCGTTCGCGGCTTGCCATATCGTCACTTGTGCCGAAAAAAAAATACCCTTCGAGTTTCCCAGCTCCCCGATCCGTGCCCGCTGTTTCCCTTTCCATAGATAAAAAACTTCGCATTTCGTGATTTGTTCTTTCCCGGGGAGCGATTGACTGATCCGATGACTTGGTGCTGACATTAAGGTAACAAGAAAAGGGCTGAAAGAAGTGCCAGCCAAGGCGAGGAAACGAAGAAGAGATAATAGTTGAGAATAATGATGCACTCCATGGGCACGACGTCGAATGCTCGGTCTTAGGCTGCCGACTGTAGAGCTGCGCGTGGTCCTTCTGCAAATCGGACGGCTCGGGTGTGACTGTGCCCACTGCGGGGAGTGGCCTTGGCTGGCGACCTGTCTTTTCGTAGGATTGTCTTCATCTCGGACGAGGAGGACGAGGACGATGATGAAGAGGAAGACCGGCCCGCAGACGAAGAAGTTGTCTTCTTCTGCAGGGCGCCTACGGACCGGTCGGATTGTCAATCGATGCCGTGCTGCTTCTTGAGCTGCGCTAAAGATTCCCGACGGGCGTCGAGGTCCTCTTTAGATTTTACCATCTTGTCGGGCTGATGGTATAGAACTGCGAGTGGGTCAGCAAGGGCTTGATCCATCGACGCAAAGGAGAACGAAAAGAGTGAAATTATCCAAACCAAGGGTTGAGAGTGGAGGAAGAAGGCATAAGGAAACGTAGTGACACGCTGCCACGTACCAACAAGATAACGGTTCTGAAAGTTGAAACCGTTCAATTTGTCACAGGCTTGCTTCGCATCCATGACATCTTCGTAGACGACAAAAGCTGTGCCCTTGGTGTTGTTGGCGATGCCTTGGCGGACCTGACTGCAAGGGGGTTAGCACGGTCGTAGTCGACAACATCCGCACGAAGGCCTGGACGTACCGGATAGGTCCAAACTTTCCAAAGAGGTCGAAGAGTTCCTCAGGAGAAACAGTGTAGCTACGACAGGTCAGCATCAACTGCGGTTTTTCGGCGGAATCGGTGGTTGCTATCGATGGAGGCGTACCTCAGGTTCTTGACGAACAGAGCGCTAAAGGAACAGGTCAGCAAGCTGCTCTCGAAACTCTTTTCACCGGGCATCCCAGGCGAGACGTGCCGGCCGTGCGGTCGGATAAAAGCGACCGCACAACGTCGCAGCCTCGCCCAGACCCGGAAAGGCAGCAGGAGACTCACCGATTGACTTCGGGGGCAAGTTTCCCGCCGCGACTACTCATCTCTTGGATGATTGAGGCTGTGGTGGTGATGCTTCGGACTCGAGGAGGGTCGGAATCGGAGGTGGAATGCGAAAGATGGATTGGAAGCAGAAGTTCCGGGGTGGAGGCACAAGACGCAGAGAGAATGGGCGATTGCGGTGGGTCTGATAGGCCGGCACACGTGACCCGCGTTTTTCGCCTGCATTCTGTTGATAAGCCGGGGGCCAGAGCGACGTGTGCGAGGTACGTACCCAAGTGCCGGTGGCCGTGGCTCCTCCCCGCTTTTCCTCACGATGCAATTGGCGCGTCCGTCAAGACACGTTCCCTTTGCGGTTGGGAGCTTTGCCTCGGTGAGGATAATCGGCGGTGCGAGGTGTGTGCTAATGCAGCCAGCATGCAACGTGCAGCGTATTCGTCTGACAGCTTGGGATCTGAATAGGTGACGACCAGGGATTTTGGAGAAGAAGAAAAGAAGAGGTTCTGTCTGGGAGGGGAGAGTAAAGAAGCGAGCTCTGTATTGAAAAGCGAAAGCTCCTTCCCTCTTACAGTTGCATTACGTAGGCCACACGACCGCTCACGTGAGTTCAAGCACAGCTCAGACGAAGCCGCAGGAAGCAAAAACACAACGCAGGTGAATCCGTCAGAACAGAGCAACCGACACGGTCGATCCAGAAAAGCACGCGCAACCACGCAGAATTGCATCACGCGCCGTCCTGGTGCAGCAGTGATTCACGGTGGGGGGGCTTTGATGAGTCAGGCGACAGCCATTCAGGGGCCGGGTTTGGCCATGCACCCCACGAACGTCTCGGCTTTCACCGCCGACCCGCGGAAATCGAGCTGGCAGCTCCCTGACGCGATGAGGTGTCTGTTATATCCGGCTCTTATCTTGCCCTCGATCGGCTGCATTAACCAGTTCCTCAACATGATACGTTGAGATTGTTCTTCTCATGCGGAGAATTATCAAGTGTCGATATCACCGTTCGGCGGCCGACTTGTCCTGGCCCTGGTTGCCTACCTTAGGCAGTCAGGCTTGAGGTTACGGAATATGCTTGGTGAATTGAAAGGCAAAAAGAAAGAAACATACAGGAAATTCAAACAAGGCAAAAAGTGATTGGTGACTACATACAGGAAGAACCAGATGGATCGAAAAATCGAAGTGATACAGTCATCCGTCAATCCAAAATGAAGACAGGACTTGTTCTGACCTTCAGTGTTGCTGTAGATACAATTCGTGAAGTCGTTAACGGGTTTTCAAGCAACACACTAAGCGGCCGTTTGCTCAACAACCCACATACCCTGAAATAGTTTGCGAACGCATGGATTCTTTTCTCTCTCTCTTCCTATGGCAAACAAACCCTACGTCTCCATCATGACATAACGAATACCTTATAGACACACGTCCACCACCTCTGTTGAGCCGTTCGCGACGCCTCGCGTCATCTGAGACGTACATTCTCGACGCCACACCGTGAATATCACCACGGTGAATTTTACGATCATGTCGACCTCATTCGGCCAAAGCATCCTATCCGTGTTCGACGTCTGGGAAGATTCGTTGTCGCTTCTCTCAGAAATACTGGACTCTGGGGCTGCGCCAACGGATGAATTGCACTCCCTCCTCGACCAAAGCCTGATTGGTGGCGCGGAAGATTGGTATTATTTGATCGAGTGTGCACAGTCCATTCGAAGGGCTCAGGATGGCCATCCTGAGAGTCTCGACGGCAGCGATGTCCTCAACTTCATCTGGGAAATCTTCAAAGGCGGCGATGTTGCAACACCAGACCTTGGGCCGTGGGGAGAAACAGATCGCTTGATCGCACTAGCCAAGGACTTGGAGAGAGAGGTCGATATCTTTGCACTTGCTCCACGACTAAACGAAGAGAGCACTGAGAGCACATCCTCACGAGTTCGACAACGTGTCCAGAAACAGCGCCAAGGAGCAACGTCCCATTACTGGTCTGACAACCCTTCTGACGAGGCTTGCAAGAGAAGAGTCGAGCAGCACAGCGCTGCTTATTCCTACAATGCCGGAACCGACCATTGTCGACACGCCTTTGGGGCTGCCTTTGGTGCTGCCAGATCTGTTTCGGACAGGCAATCCTTGAAGTTCTTGTCGTCGCTTGATTGTTCTCATCGGAACCCAAGGTCATGGACCTCCCCGTGCAGACCGGAGACAGAAGAGGGGAAGGCACATAGCAAACGCTCAGCAACGTCGCCTTATTTCCTGCAGAACCCGTCACCAAAGAAGGAGTCTCCGAAGAAGAAGCGACCGCCGGCAGGGACAGTGTCTTGTATTCCGTTTCCCAGTCTTGATTCACCATCGTTTGGCATCATCCAAGAGGAACTGGCGCACGACCCATTCTGGCTACTCATTGCCGTCACGTTCCTCATCAAGACAAACGGACAGCTGGCTCTGCCTGTATTCTGTCGGGTGAAGGAGCGGTTTCCCACGCCGTCTCATCTGTTGGACCCCTCTGTCAGGGAAGAGCTGCTGGGCATGATACGTCACTTAGGACTATCCAATGTCAGGCTCGCATATATCCTGAGGTACGCGACGGCCTTTATACAACAGCCGCCAACGCCCGGTACGTGCTACCGAGTGAAGAACTACGACAAACGGGCCATGAGCCCTCCGCCATACCAGGAAGATATGGAGCTGTCGCCTTTGCCATCAGATCGTGGCGATGACGATCTCGAGGCGTGGGAGATTGGCCATATGACTCAGGGCAAGTATGCCATCGACAGCTGGCGCATATTTTGTCGTGATGAGCTGCTAGGGCGCGCCGAGGATTGGAACGGGAAGGGCCGTGAGCCTGAATTTCAGCCCGAGTGGATGAGGGTGAAACCGGCGGACAAGGAGCTGCGAGCCTGCCTGCGCTGGATGTGGATGCGCGAAGGCTGGGAATGGGACCCGGCGACGGGCGAGCGCACAGTTTTGAGGGAGGAGATGCGAAGGGCCGTTAATGAAGGGAGGGTTGAGTATGACGATACTGGGGCGCTGAGGATTGTGGCCGCTTGAGGGGAGCGCGAGGAATCTGCCGTAGATTGGGAGAGGCGGTTGCACCTCTTCGTGATGGGTATGAAACGAGGTGTTGATCGCTTGGATTGATGCGGGAGGTATGTATGAGCCTTGCGATCCTTGACGTTGACCATGCTTGCGAGCGGAAGAATTGTAGATGTTGGACATTGCAGAGGATATGAAATTCTGATTTGACCAAAAGAAGCATTGCAGCGCCATGGCAGCGACCACACCAGTTCCACGTAATCAATCTTTCCGAATTATGTAGTACTACTATCTCTCTAAACATTTGGGTAAGCTAACATTGGCAGATGAGGTGGCAAGGACTGTGATGAATGGTGTTGAGCATGCACATGTCTCGGAACCGCATCCCGCACTTGCTCAATACAACCACTTTTGCAGCAGTTGCTCCGTATGAAGAGTTTGACACCTGCTCAGTTGAGGGCGCCGATAGAAAGTTCCGCGATGGCATCATCATGCAGCACGACGCAGCCTGTGAAAGGCCTAGGAAATAGTGGACTGAGACGGTCCGTTCGTGGGCCACCTATCGCAGCCTCTCGCTGGACGAGCGATTGTTTAGGCAGGTGAGCACTTGGGCGTGCATTTTGTACGTGTTAGCCGGATGGTTTGATCCTACCTTACGCTGGTGATGGTCACAAAGCCGAGGGAGTGAATAGTACAGTAGTACCTTAATACTGATGGGACGGAACAGGAGAGAAGAGTAATTCATTGGATCCGGTTCGTTGAGAGGAGGGTAGAGAAGGAAAAGCTGAGCAAAGGGCTGTTTTGCCCTGCTGAGTGAATAGACTGCTCAATAGACTGGGGCATTCATTCACACGTGCAAGTACCTTATGTTAGTACTTGTACGAAGCCCAGCCATTGTTCGCGTTTCTTAGGATGTAAGCACCTCCTCCCTCTTGCGTCTGTAAACCCGCCATATCAGGTATGCATCTAATACCTCATTACTATCTGACGTCCATTCGTGTATGCAGCATTCTGACGGGAATCACCTCTCAGTAGAGTACAAGGAGACAAGGGAAAAGAGACCCATGGAAGAACTGCTGCAAGCACTTCCAACTGCCAAGAAAGGCTCTGCCGCCGCGATGGCCTTAACCTTGAATTAGTCTATTTTTGGCGCTCCATCTCCCCGCTTGCCGTCTGGTGGGAGCTTGTCACAGGAGCTTCGAGTTTATTAGATGAGAGACGATTCGCCTGCCGTCTTGTCTGAACCTCACTATCGAAGTTGAGCCTCGCATTCCGCATTGCAATGAGATATCGGATGGGATGAAGACACAAAGCACGAGGGAGGCTGCCAGGTTCTGAGCGTATACAGCAGGTACCTGACACAAGCTGCCAGGCCGTGCGTATACAACTACTAGGTATAGTACGCAGCGTGTACCTTCCATTCACGCCCATTGTCACAGAAGTTGGCCGGCGTCAGAGGGGCTGCATGTGTCTGCCGCCGTGTCTCGCTACTTGCCTCCCTGGGCCAAGCTACCCGCCCCTCTGCGCGGCCAAGCACCGCACGCCAAGGTCTCTGGAGGGGGAGCGGCGGGTACCTGGGCGAAGCTTCCGGGGCGTGTAAAAGTGGACACCTCGGGGGCTGCAGCATCACGGGATTTGGAAAGGACACAGTGGTATGTAAGATAATCCGAGCTTTTTCGTCTTGACTTCATCTTGTCGTGCCTCGCTCTCGCCCCTCCTCCAGGCTTGTGATTCTCTCTCGTCGCCGCACACTTGCGCTGCTCACCTTCCGCTCACCCTTCCCGCCAGACCCTGTGAGACTGGTTCTTTGTCGGGCGCTGTGTCGCTGTCCTTCCTTTCAAGTCTCTGCCCTGCCTTGCCCGCCTACGGAGAGCACGCTCTGAGTTCGCATCGTCAGATCGCATCGCATCGCATCGCCTCGCATTCGCAACGAACAACTCCTCGACTAGCTTCCAATTCGCCCGAATCGCGCAACAGGAGGCACGCGAGAAACCTCCAGGCTGGGAAAGCAAAGGAGAAGCAACGGGAAACCGAAAGAACGAGCTGCAGCACTCTTAGAACACAATGTCGCATCGCGGTCCTTCTGGCTACGGCATTGGCGGCCCCAGCCCCTACGCTGGAGGCAGCGCCGGTGTTGGTGTTTCTGACGAGTCCAGCGGCAGCCTCTTTGACCAGATCCGGCCCTACACCAGCAAGGTCGAGGATCTGCTCGACTCCTTCAGCGAGCCCGTCAAGCCGTAAGTGAAGCTCGCCCGGAGCGTGGAGGAACTGAGGGGACGGCAGCTGACCTTGCGGCGCATCGATATAGCTATCTTCCAGCCATTGGCCGATTTTTGATCGTTGTCACATTCCTCGAGGATGCGCTCCGCATCATCACACAATGGAGCGACCAGCTGCTGTACCTCCACGACTACCGCCACAGTAAGAATCTATATCGGCGCAATGGCGATCGCCGAGCGTCTTTCCTCGCTGGACTTTCGAGAGCTAACACCTAGACCAGTTCCCACCGGTATCAACCACCTCTTCCTTCTCTTCAATGTCGTCGCCATGGTGTCCTGCTCGTTCCTCGTCATTGTCAGGAAGTACTCCGACTACGCTGTTGGCGGTCTCATGTCCGTGGTGGTTATCCAGGCCTTTGGCTACGGCTTGATCTTCGACCTCAACTTCTTCCTGCGAAACCTGTCCGTCATCGGTGGTCTGCTCATGGTCCTGTCCGATTCGTGGGTTCGCAAGACTAAGGCCTTTGCCGGTCTTCCCACCCTCGACGAAAAAGACAAGAAGATGTACTTCCAGCTGGCCGGCCGTGTGCTCTTGATCTTCCTCTTCATTGGCTTCGTCTTCAGTGGCCAGTGGTCTTTCTGGCGCGTCCTTGTCTGCATCCTCGGTGCTGGCGCCTGCGTCATGGTTGTTGTGGGTTTCAAGGCCAAGTACAGCGCGACCCTGCTCGTCGTCATCCTGAGCGTCTTCAACCTCTTGGTGAACAACTTCTGGACTGTAGGTCCCATTGTGTCCCCTCACTTTGTTTCTTCAGCTGACTTATCCATCTACGTAGCTCCACGAGCACCACCCGCACAAGGACTTCGCCAAGTACGACTTCTTCCAGATCCTGTCCATTGTCGGCGGTCTGCTGCTCCTGGTCAACAGCGGCCCCGGTCAGTTCAGTATCGACGAGAAGAAGAAGGTTTACTAAACCCGAGAGCGAAACGAATACAACTATGGACAAGCTTTCACGTTTGGATTCTATGACAAGTGAGCACCGTTGCTCCACGATCCGAAACCACACTGCAGACTCCCATTGGAGTTGCCCCCCTTCACTTTTTCTCAAGTCGTCATGGATAACGGGAAGTGATTAAACTGATAGGAGTTGACATGGCATAGTATGGCCTTTATAGGTGCTGCAAACTTTTGCACATACTGCATAGAGAGGAAAAAAAAAGCAAAACAAACAAAAATTAAATGAATCTATCTGTCACGAAGATCATGGAGGCATGAAGGGGCTAGGGCACGAGAGCACAAAAACAAAGGTACCTCAATCAACTGCGAAAAAGAAACAGTTCATTGCAAGAAATGTTGAAGCGTCTCGCAAGATGTGACAGGCTAACAAGAAGCGTTGTTCCGATTGTGCTCGACTCATCGCGTCTTCCTGATGGAAAGATAGGAGATGCTAACTGCAGCTGGCAAACTCTTCAACCGACTTGACTTTCCGGCTTCGTTGAAAAATGAAGACTTCTTGTTCGGGTTGACAACAATGATAGGACTAAAAAAATATATATAACGCTGCCGTATATTCACTTGGCCTCCAGCTCACTAATTCTTCAGACTGTCTGAACTCCTTGCAGAGCCTCTGCGATGCTACTCCCCTTCCAGGGGTGCTCCACCTCAACTCTCCGAATCATCTCAGCATGCTTTTCACTCCTTGGTACGATACTGTACGGGAACTCGACCGGATGGTCTATCAAGCCCGGTGTATGCTTCCACTCGACATCAACCGGCCTTCCATCACGCACCGCTTTGCCGATCGTAAACACCGCCAATGTCCGTGCAATGGTTGTGAAGAGATTGTCCTGCGCAAGGAACCTACCGGGACATACCCGCCGCCCATAGCCGAACGCATGACATGCTGGATCCGGCTCGTTTCGAGGTTCCATGTAGCGCTCGGGCGCGAACCGCATAGGCTCGGGATATCTCTCTGGGTCGTGCAGGAGCCACCAGATGGCGGGGAGGAGGTATGCGCCCTTTGGGATGCGATAGCCTCGGACGACCATGTCTTCTATGGCCTCGTGCACGACTCCCATGGGCGCGATGGGGTGCCAGCGGAGCGCTTCCTTGACTACGCCGTCGACGTAGGGGAGGTTCTCCCGGTCGCTGTCTGAGGGGAGGCGATCGAGCCCTACGACTCGGTCGATTTCTTCCTGGGCTTTCTGCTGCACATCCGGATGCAGGACCATGCCTAGGATAAACGACGTGAGGCTCGACACAGTCGTATCCGCACCGCCAGCATAAACATTCTGCGCGACCCACTTGATATGGTCAAATATCATATCATCCGCAGGCTTGCCCTCATTCCTGTAAGCAGTGACGAGCCTAGAGACGAAGGATTCCTGGTTGGTGCCGTTGCTCATCTGCTTCAGGACAAAGTTGTAAGGGATGTCAGCAGAGGCGTCCATTATGGCTCTCTGTTCGCGGGCAATCCGCTTGAAGCCTGCGCCTGGGAACCAGTCGGGCAGATAGGCCAGGGCAGGGATGATGTCGACTGCCCATGAGAAGGGAACTACGGCGTCCGAGAAACCGGCCATGACCCGTTCGATGAGACCTACCAGCGGATCGGGCTTTTCCAGCTCAATCGTATAGCCATATGTAATCTTTAGGATGATGGCGGCTGCCTCACTGTCAAGATGTGTGTCGTCAGTACATGTGGCTGCCCTTTACGAGTTGAGAGAAGAAGGGGCCGGGGGGGGGGGGGGGGGGGGGGGGGGGGCTTCTTACGTTTTGATGTGCTGAAACAAGTGATCAGGATCCCTCAAAACTCGCCACAGAAAGCGCTTCGACTCAACATCTTGGATATCCGCATACTGAGCCGCGAGCTGCTTCGTTCCAAGCTGCTGGTGAACGACTTTCCGATACAGACGAAACCTGTCGGCATACTGCAGCAGGGCAAAGAACCGATCGTGGCCACACATGGCCGCGAATGGCATCATGGGTCGGCCGGCAGTTTTGACCGAGCCCTTTTCCAAGACCTCGGTGACGACATCCTCGTCGAAGAGGAGGACTATCGTCTGGCCCAGCGTGGTGACGGAGCTGATGGGGCCGTATCTGTCCTTGAAGGTGTTCCAGTGCTCGTATTCTGGCTTTCCTGGCGGCGGGGCATCTTTGATGTTGCCGAGGATGGGGAGGGGAGCTGGGCCGGGGGGTAGAGGGGGGAGAGCTTCGGTCTTTTTGCGGAAGAAGAGGGCGTAGACGAGGACGCCGATGAGGACGATGATGCCCTGGGCCACGGCCAGGTTTGACATCTTGGAGCGTCGTGCTTCTACAGCGATATGGAAACCTGCTGACCAGGAGGGGGAGCTGGGCTTTGAGGCATCGCTCTTGGAGAACCAAGGCTGGCTTTATAGTGCCTGAGTTCGCTCTTGACGACTCGTCACAACCCATTGGGAACCCATCACATCGGGGGCGTTCATGTGGCAACGTTGTCGATACGACCCCGCAATCGTCTGAATCCGGGTTCAATGCCGTGCTTGGTGTTGTCTAGAGTCTACACGGTCGATACCCTGTCGTGCCGGCTTATCTCTATTGGTACGGGAGGTTTCATCCTGAAGGCCTAGCCCTATATTGTATGGGTCAAGGCGGGCAACGATTGCACTTTGGGTAATGAGATGAGCGCCCTGAAATCTGCAACGTTTTTTGTTCCCTGCCGTTGGTGATGGTCTCTTGGCGGTGCATTTCCATTTTGTCTTGCTGGCTTGCGGGCGTCAAGTTTTGCCGATGGGGGGAGCAAGGATAGGTGCATTGGGGAGTTGAGTTGATGTAACCTCGTGATGGCGAATATGACCCAGATGGCTGATATGGCGTATCGTAGCACATGTTTATTTCCCCGTTCCCCGTCTGCCCGTTAACCGTTTCGTGAAACAATGACTCGGTCGTTGACAGGGTTCTGCTCCAAGTATGTTGTTAGCTTGAAACAACATTGTGATGCATCATATCTTATGCAGTTCAGCTGGCGGTAGTGTCATGAAAATCGAAGATGAGGGGTTGCTATCCTATCGGCACACATGGTAAGTATGCGGTGACCTCAAAGCTGACGAGTTCCCTTGTGAGGCTGAGAGCAGGGTATACTGTGATATAGGGTCAGAAGATGCTTGTAGCTGAATCTTGGGACCGTTGGCGATGCAATATATCTCGCTTCCCGGAACTATCGAATGTGATATTCGAGAGTTGAGATGATCTCATGAAACGTACTCCCTGGTTACCCATGACGTGAAGACAGTGAGTACTGGGTAGAGTACTGGGTAGAGTACTGTGATTGATTTGAAGGGTGGCTATTGGTCCTTTTGACATGGGTCTCGTCATTATCTGCAGGTCCATACTATCATGCAGCTGGCTGCATAGCCGATGCCGAAGATGAGAATGAAAACTTCTCAACCCGAGAGACAGCCAGAAGGAGAGGATTACATCTTGTAGTGCTGGTGAAGCACTCTCTGGTTCTTGAAACTATAGATCTGTACAGTATTTCGTAGTCCGTAGCGATCTTGATGAGCATTTGTGTTCGGGCCTTCAGGTGCATGCATGTAGATCGGGTTGACAACCAATGTAGTGGTTGGCTTCAGACCTAGTATACGATTACCGTTCCGTCGTAATTCCTGTTTTTGGTGGGAAATTTTGAATGTCATAAATTCAAGTAAGGTGAGGCAATACTGGACCTGTATTGCCCTTCGAGGTGGCGTGATGAGCTAGAATATCATAGATTCCCATTTTCTATATATGACTGCTCTGATTTCAAGTCATGTCGAGTCTCAGCCGCGTGTCGACTTTCAGCCGCGATATAATCTCCATGGTAGTTTGAGGCTATGCTTTCCATGAGGACGATGTGAGAATCTTCGATGCCTAAACCTTTATGCAAACGTAGTAGCCCGCCCATAAAGAAGTACAGCCAGTTCCAACACCTGGATTCCAACCATAAAAGCTGGTCAACGAAATCCCCGCGGCAGAAGCAATATCAGCACAATTATCTCCGCTGACGACGAGATGGAAGCCGCGACAATTCTGTGTCATGCCATCCTGGAAAGGCGTCGGCGTGGTAATCGCCGAGCTAGTAGTCTTGCTCGGAGTGGTAGAGCCGGTGACTCCAACGCAGACGTAGTAGTCGGGGAAGAGACCCGAACAATCGGTCTTGACAGCTGGATTCCACGTGTAAAAGTCATTCAGGGCGATGTTGTTCGCTGCGGCAATGTCGAAGCAGCCGTCTCCGCTGACGACGTAGTAGAACTTGTTGCAGTTCTTGACCATGCCGGTCTGAATTGGTGTTGGCGTTGCAATGCCGTTGCCAGCTGAAGTTGTCGTTGTTCTCAAGGTGGTAGAAGAGGATGTAGGTTTCGTACCAGTAGTCCCAACGCAGACGTAGTAATCTGGGAAGAGGCCTGAGCAGTCGTTCTTCACAGCTGGATTCCACGCATAAAAGTCGTTGAGGGCGATGTTGTTTGCTGCGGCAATATCAAAGCAGCCATCTCCGCTGACGACGTAGTAGAACTTGTTGCAGTTGGTGACCATGCCGGTCTGGATGGGCGTTGGGGTGGTGATGCCGTTTCCGGCAGAGGTTGTGGTGGCGCTGCGGGAGGTAGTTGAGGTTGGTGGAGGAGTTGAATGGGAGACTGATATCGTGACGAAGTTGACCTCGACGCAGTAGTAGAGACCTGAGATGAGATTACAGCCATCTCCTAGCTGGGTGACGCTGGGATTCTACACAAAGTCAGTTAGAATTTCGTATAATCATGTTATTGCAGTAAAATTGACAGCTTCGTTGTCTCGAAAATCAGCGACAGGATATCACCCACCCATGATTCAAATTGAGCCTCCGTCATGCCATAATACTGTTCAATGATGTCGCAGGTGAGGGCGTACGACTGTTGAATCCATCCGCTGCAACTGGATATAGTTCCTGGAGCAGCGGCGCCAGGAGGGTTGACGAGGTAGGCATCTGCAAGACTAAATGCCACAGCAGCAGAGAGAAAGCTGAAAGCCTTCATTGTGAGAACTGAGCCAAGATCAGAATTGCTCACAAGGCAGTGAAGCTGGAGGACCAAGAGACGGAGCTGCCACCGAGGGTCTGCGTTTAAGGGCAGACGATGAGGATGACCCTAGGACTTGAGGTTATAACTCGGCAATCCGCCGTCCGCGGAACAATTACCGCATCAACAACTATCATGCCTCGTGAGTTGTCTGTTTCTGCATGTGTGGTCTGCAAAGCGTCATCAATACTGGGCCCGATATCGCGTGGAGTATATGTCGTTTGGGATGAGGTCAGTCCACATGAATCACAAGGCTCATCACAGAACCTAAGTCCTGATGTAGTGTCAACCGACTCCTTCAATGCACCTGCTATTGAATCCTCAGCCTTACTTTCCCCTTACAGACAGCTGCGCCTTATTACAACACCAGTTACCAGCATTTGATTTTCGATAGTGATTCCATTGTTCCTTGGCATGAGGGGTTGTAGGATGACATGCATCCACGGGATAAATCCCACTGCTACCCCAGATACCCGAGTGTGGATGTGTGGATTTACCGGGTTACTCTAGGCATCCTCAGTGGCGAACATAACGTGGGTAGTATTCTGATGAAAACGTGCATCCATGTGAAAAGATGTTTGGCACGGGACGGGCTGAAAATCGATCCTTTGATCCTTCTGTGGATTAACACTCAGGCAATGCTTGAGAACATACGACGAGAGTAATTGCCGGCTCTTTAGTCTGTAGTCTACGGCTTGTTACTGATATTGTCTACTTCTTGATTCTGCAGCAATCATATCACCTTCAGGAACTGTTCTTATAGTCTCTAGAGTTCTTAAATTCTTCCTACTTGTTCTAAGATAATCTTCAGAAGGTTTGATAAATCAGACCATGGCGGTGAAGCTTTGTGAATGCAGAGTTTAAAGTGAGATTCTCAAAAACAATTGTCTCTTACCTAGTAATTGACATCACTTGGTAAGGTACTTTTTCGTGAATTATCGTACGTCGATTGATTGTGCCAGAAAACTCCAAGGCTTGCATCCCGAACTGTAACATGGGTGCCTGCAATTCCACTGGCAGTACTATATTAACCCTACCTTCAACTCTATACACAACCTTTCGAGCTTATTCCCCTCTTTCGGGCATTCCCGATTAGGAATGCATATGTATTGAAGTACTCAGTCACGCCTTCTCTGTAAATGCCTCCCCAATATTCTCTATAGGATCAAGTTGTATTCTGACATAGTACCCGCATATGCCTTGCGATCCTCCGGATCCAACAACAAGCGACTTCCGATGTATGTCCAAGGTACTTCTAGAATTTAGAGGGAAATTGGATGATGCAAGGGGGAAATGGCTCATGGGTTCGGTTATGGAAGAGCTCAACTGCGTGATCGACCAATCATGGTCTTGCTCCCCCTTTACTGCTTGGAGCACCAATCACTACAGCCATCCCAATGCCATGTAATGACAGCCCGTCCGGTGATTTGTGAAGATGATGGATGGATTTGCGCCGTCTATGGCTTTAGGAGTTACAGGCAAATGTCAGCTCCTCATCGATACTTATGCTCCATTGCTCCCATGAATTGGTATCTGGCTCTATCTACCAGCAAGGAACTACGGCGGCTTCATTAAATTCTCAAAATGCGGTCCATCTTGGCGGCTTTGCCGTCTGTTCTCTGGCTTCTTTCGAGCACCTGCCAAGCCAATCCGCTAAAGACTTACGACTTCGGTTCCAGAGTTGCTCAAGATGCAGACCTCGACACTTTGAACGAGACGCTTTGGCGACGCGTTCGCGTGCCAGGAGGCACAGGTAGCAATGCCCCTCCTCCAGTTGACCAGATCTTCTTGTTTGGGCCGAGTAACATGGCCGGAGGCTGCACAAGCAGAAAAGACGGTCTCCAAGATTGGGTGGACGACTCCAGACGGATTCACGATGCGATTGAGCAACTCTACGGAATGGTCACGAAGCCGAGCGTGGCCAAGATGTGGGAGGCGTTCTTTGGCATCTTCATGTGGATCAACCCCAACACGAACCAATTCGAAGTACATCCGGACTCGAGAGACAGGTGGAATGCCATTGGAGGTGCAACATGTCTCTTCTCTCGGACCATTATTGGGGCTTAACCGACTGACTGTTGTTGATAGACCACATCGCCCGCATAACCCAGTTTCTGGACGGAAATGGACTGCGGGAGCCAGTCGTCGCTGGAGAGGTGCCTCGTATCTACTGCTCTGGGGACGCGGGCCAGCTCGTCGGGTGGGACACAATTCTGAAAGACGAGAATGGGAACGAGGTGGAAAGGGGCACTGATCCGGTGACGGGGCAGAAGCAATACGTGAGCCTCAGGCAAGTATACCCGAGCAACGGTCAGTATGCCTTTTGGATGGACTCCTTCAAGGGCTACTGGTTTTCGGCCGTCAGGCAAGGGCAGGATATCAGCTTGTGCCCAGCTGGAGGCCGCCAGGCTGCAACAGGAAGACCCGCCGTGCCTCCGCTTCGAGGCTTGAATGTCAAACTCGCGCAGGCGAACAGGGGCATCATCGTCTGTCCGAGGGCGTGGCAGCGGACAGTTGGACAGCCCCATGGACAGCCTTCTCTCCTGCAGGCGGTTGGGGGAGCCAACTACCCCAAGGGCGACGGCAGCACCGGGGAGTTGTTGGATCGGTTGGCGCCGATGAGCACGACGCTTTATCACGAGATTGTGCATTTGACCGACTACAACAAGCAGACCTCAAAGCCCGATCAATGTACGTCCGTTTTTTACCCCCCTTTCTATTCCTTTACCTGACAGGGAATTGTTTGCTAACGGTCTTTGCTCTGGGTGTAATTAGATGATTTGAACGCCATTCTCAGGATGGCTTACAGCTCCAATGACGCAGACAAGACGGCCGTCCCTCACAACCCAGAGACGTACGTCTTCTTCGGTATAGCGGCTTATGTCTACTTGAATCCTCCTCAGAGCCAGGACACTGTTTTGTATGTAGGCGGAAAGTCTGCTACGGAGACTGCTGTTTGGGCTGAGATTTCGCGGAAGAGGCAGCAGGGTCCTTAAGCTGTGTTGAAGTGTAGGCTTGTAATAACATGTAGATTACATGAGAAAACAAGTATCTACAATTGCTACCTAGTAAATTGACGGCTTTGTTAGAACAAATCTTGTAGACACTGAAGACTGTTATCAACACCGCATGTACATGCGTACTCAGTTCGTTCACAACCATCACGGGCAGCTTCCTCTGTGAAGTCCAAGTCAACGTTCAATATCAAGCTATCGAACGTTTACATCACAAAGTAAGCACAATAGCTGCGTTGACTTTAGCCTGTATGTAGCATCCAGATCAGATTGTCTTCAACCGGCGAGGCTGGCTTGAGTCAGCGAACCGAAGGATTCTCAGATGATCTCTCCTCTTCCCATGTATATGGACAATATGGATCATGGAACTCCAAGAACAAGTACCTGGTACATACCGCGGACTCTGGAAATAATTTCCGGATCAACTGCCATTTTGGCTTGCGGGGATCCAATCGCCAAGATATAGGAATACGTTGGGGGCGGCAACGTTACTCTCTTTGTGATAGCGTTGGAGGGGACTTTATGAGGCTCAGCACACACACTCGCTCACTCACACCATCATTTACATGTTCGAGTTTGTAGGATTGGTTTATGGTCCTGTGATTGCATCCTCTGGAATAAGCCTGGATGAGTGTTCGTAACATGTAAACATGTATGCTCGATTTGTAAATGGTCTATCACGACTGCAGACTCCCCTCTCAACTGGTATCTCCGCTTACTTGATGTGCATGTTGAGATGGATTGCTGAGTATAAACGACTAAGTTCCGTCCCTCATGTCCCCTTTTCATCCTCCTCTATACTAGCCTTCCAAAGATACCCTTTCAAGGAACGGGGAGGCCACGGATCTCGTCATGAGGCACACACTGGGAGTTGCTGCCGTATGCATAGCAGCTGGAGCTCTCTGGAGTCCCCCGGGAACTCTAGCAGCCAGCTCCGACGCAGCAGCAGACGCACTTCTCGCCTCTCTTTCACAAGCCAATTCCATCAAGACCGCCTCTGGACCTGTCTCGGGTCGACCAACAGACCGTGCCAGCGCTCGAGCTGCCGTCCTGGCAGGAAACTTCACCTCCAAGCTCCATCATGAGAGAAGAGACAGGAACAGAAATTCTTGTCCTGCAGCGTGTGAGAGTGCGGAGCCAAGCTCATGGGATGTGTACCACGACGTCAACCGTCTCAAGGAGTGCAATCAGACTATGCTGTTGGACTTTGCCCTGTTTAACCACGTGGACGACTCTAAGCCTGTCGTCATGATCTCGGCTTGTACGGCGGATCTGAAGGTCAATAATAACAGGCTGCACACGTTGTCTAAGACAAATGGCTGTGCGGTTGAGGGCGTGAAACTGGCGTCAAAAACATCCCAGATACAACTGAGTTCTTCAGGCGCTTCATCAAAGTCTCATGTCGCCGATGTTAGTGCGGCTCTCGATCAACTGCTGGCTTTGTCGAGCATTTCTTCTTCCACCTGTCAAGAGACGATCAAATACGCCACCTCTGGGGATGTCATTGTTGGCGTCTATGCTGGATCCGGCATCGCCAGTCAGGGAGTGCTTGCATCCGTCGTCCAGAAGCTCAACAGTGAGATTCAAACCAGCGGCCAAGTTGCCGAAGATTTGGTGGCACAGATTTGCAGCAGCAAGACGCCGGCAAGATACACGCTGGGAGTTTTTGCCACGACTCAGGGGCATCTCGGTGCCGTCCAGCGGAGCGTGCAGTCCTGGAAAAACGGCACTTGCGTCGGCACAAGTTTTACGGACGATGTCAGTATCAAATCGAGCTGGGATAGCGTCACATATCTTGCCCCGTCTGCCTCTCAAAGCAACTCGACATCCAGCAGCTCCTCCAGCACCCTCAAGAAGCCCTTGTCAACCCGTGCCGACTGCCGCACCATCCAAGTCGAGGAGGGAGATTCTTGTGAGTCTCTGGCCAGCGAATGCGGCATCACACCAGCTCAGTTCACACAATACAACCCCAGTTCGACTCTCTGCGGCGCACTTACCCCTGGACAGCACGTCTGCTGCAGCTCAGGCACACTGCCCGACTTCACGCCCAAGCCCGATGACAAGGGCTACTGCTACTCCTACCTTGTGAAAGATGGAGACTCCTGTGCGTCAATTGGTGCGGCTTATGACCTGACCAATGCCGAGATCGAGAGCTTCAACAAGAAGACATGGGGCTGGAACGGCTGCCAGAAGCTCTTCGCCGACTATAACATCTGCCTCAGCACCGGCTACCCCCCCATGCCAGCCCCCGTGGCCAACGCCGTATGCGGACCTCAAGTGAACGGCACCACTCCACCCCCTCCTGACGTCGACTTCAGCACGCTGAACGAATGTCCGCTCAACGCATGCTGCAACATCTGGGGCCAGTGTGGCACGACGGGCGACTTCTGCAACCCGTCAAACTCTAGCACCGGCGCCCCTGGAACTGCGGCTCCGGGAGAGAACGGCTGCATCTCCAACTGCGGTGATGATATCCTCACGTCGGATCCGCCCAGCGAGACCATGAGCATCGCCTATTTCGAGGCCTTTGATCAGAAGCGCACATGCCTCAAGATGCCCGTCACCGCCGTCGACACGTCTAAATACACGCACATCCATTTCTCCTTCATCACGCTCAACGAAGACTACTCCATCAATGTCGACGGCGTGGAGAGTCAGCTACGTCTCCTTTCTGGCATGGCTGGCGTCAAACGCATCGTGTCCGTGGGCGGCTGGGACTTTTCGACGAGTCCGAGCACGTACCAAATCTTCCGCAAGGCTGTCTCGTCTGAGGCGAACCGCCAGACTCTCGTCAACAATGTGGTTGACTTCCTTGCCGAGTACGACCTGGACGGCATTGACTGGGACTGGGAGTACCCCGACGAGCCGGATATCCCTGGCATTCCGAAGGGCACGGAGGATGAGACGACGGGGTATTTCCTGCTGTTGGATGAGCTGAAGCTCAAGCTGCCGTCGAACAGGACCGTGTCCATCACTGCACCGGCGTCGTTTTGGTACTTGCAGTATTTCCCTATTCTCGCACTCAGCTTTGTCGTCGACTATATAGTGTACATGACGTACGACCTTCACGGACAGTGGGACTACATCAACAAATATGCCAGTCCGGGATGCCCTTCGTACGATGCAGGACTGGGGAACTGTCTGCGGTCACACGTAAATCTCACCGAGACGCTCAATGCCCTCTCCATGATCACTAAGGCCGGTGTTCCGTCCAACATGATCACCATTGGTGTCAGCAGCTACGGCCGATCATTTCAGATGTCCTCGGCCGGATGCTGGACCGAGCAGTGCACTTACACGGGGCCCGATTCAGGAGCTCTCCCGGGGCCTTGCACCAACACGTCGGGGTATATATCCAACTACGAGATCAACAGAATCGTGGCAGGGAACCCTTCTGCAGAGGTACACTGGGATCAAGACTCATACTCCAACATTGTCGTCTACAATGGCACCCAGTGGGTCGCCTTCATGAACGACTCCAACAAAGCTACCCGCACGACTCTGTATCCGGCGCTTAGTTTCCTGGGCATCGCTGACTGGGCCGTGGATCTATTGTCTGAAGACGGCGATTCATCAGATGATTCTTCGTCTTCAGGAGGGACGATTTACATTGATCCGGGCATTTGGTCATCCGCAACGCCCTCAATTGTGGCGCCGCCTGGCGCGTCGCTTATCTGGCCTCCGAAGCCTTTGTCGAGTGCTACGACAATCACTTTCCCTCCTTGGACGACGACTGTTTCGTACAGCAGCCTCACAACGGGCACAAGTACTTTGACAGATGGATCGACGACGACGTATGATGAGGTTGTCTGGGTGTCGTGGCTGACGACCCTTACAATTCCTGCAGGTGAGAGTGATGCATCTAATCCACTACAAATTTGTCTTTGGGTATGGAAGGCTAACCGGGGTTCCCCTCGTTTCTCTACAGTTACGACTACGGAAATTGGCATATGGGGTGTTTCCCTCGACAAAAGCTCCTCCACCGGGACGATTTACCTGACAAGTTCCGTCCAGCCGCCACCATTCAAAGTGACCATCACTCCGTAAGGAACCCATTCCTCATCTGTCTCTATTATCCGTTGACCTATCAATACTGATTGGCGTACAGAGTCGTGAGCGGCACAACCTCCATCATTGGTGCCACCAAGACGTCCACCATCAAAGGCACTGTCATCACCTACGGTTCCGAAACCTGGACGGAACAAGACGAGACCCAGACCCAGGGCAGAAGCACCAGCATCAAGGGCGGCACAACCCTACCGCCCACCGTCATCACCGTCACGCCAAACCCGCATCCCACCACTGTGGCAACAAAGCCAGACCCGGAGGTCAATCCCAAGCCTCCCCCGTGGAAGTCTGGGTCGGATCCTAAGCCAACTGCCAAGCCGGGATGTCCTGGATGTGGCAAGCCTTGTAAGAACAAACCCCCCCCCCAACCATGACTACCCATAAGTGTATCTTGTCCAATGCAGAGCTAATATCCTCATACAGGCGTCCTATTCTGTGATTCTGGCTGTCCCTTCTGTCCTCCCGGCATCTTCCACCCAGGCGGCGGTGGTGGAGGAGATCCCAACGACCCAGACGACCCTGACGACGACGATGATGATGACGACGACCCGAGTGAGTACACAATGTACGCTGAGTCTCTCCTCGAGGACCAGTTCCCAGACAGCCCCGCAGACTCCAACTCCCTGAACGACCTCTGGACTACGGAAATCAGCCGATTTGCTTCTGAAATGGGCTGGCTCACAACAAGCTCAACCACCACCAAGCCCTCCAGCACACCGCCTCCCCCTCCCCCTCCGGCACCGACACCAGAGGCAACGTGTGAGTACTTTTACGGAGGCGTCCTCTACGAGTTCTTCATCTACTACATCTCCGGCTGGGATACGGATGACCTCGAGGGCAATCTTCATCATGAAGAAAACGGCTGCGGTGCGCTGACGGGCTGGGACTGGAACTATGCGAATGCGAAGGATCCCTCGGTGGCGTTCAACTTGCCCCTCTTTATCAAGGAGGGATGCGTTGAGCGGGCGATTGTGTCTGCTGGAGGGCCCAAGCTTTCGTGTCAGTACTATGATGGATGGGCGACGCCTGGGCCGGACGATGATGATGCGGATGCCGAGTTTGTGAAGGCTCATCAGGCGAATGCTACGCAGGAGCATGGGCCGTATAAGCCGATGAATTGGGCTACTTTGCTTGCGAGGGCGACGGGGCGAAACCAGCAGTAGCATTCCTGGTGGTGGAAAAAGTTATATGAATGCCATGATCGCTTGCCCCCTTTAAAACCAACGCCCCATAGCCATTGCTCGCTCTCTCATGAACATTGTCTACTTATTTCTTGACTGCTTCCTCCGCTACCCTCAGCTTGGCCGTAAGACTCTGATGAAAGGCCCTCGACACCGCCGAACATGTATGTCCCGGAACCCGCCACACAGGCTTCTCTACGCAAAGATCTGCTCCAGCAGCCAGCAGCAGCTTCACCGTCTCCCGCCTCCCCAGCTCCATTGCCAACTCAATCACTCTGCCGCATCTAAATTTAATGTCCTTCTTCCCCTCCTCTGCCCGGAGGTCGTGATAACCGACATTTGGATCCGCCCTTCCACGCTCAAGCAGCAGCCGCACCATTCCCACATCGCCCAGCTTCACAGCCCGAACAAGCGGAGGCATAAATTCCGTCGGCTCTGAGGTATCGTAGAAATTGCAGCTGTCGTCGAGACCATTCTCTGGCAAAGGCCGATCACCGTCCTCGAAGTCGCATCGCGCACCGTTGGCGAGGAGTAATCGTGCCATGGCTGCGTCTCGCTGATCAACTGCCAGCCCAAGCGCCTGCGTCAAGTCCACCCTATCCGGCGTCTTGTTCATCGTCTTTGAAAGTGTCAGGAGAAGTTCCACGAGTTTTCGATTCTTTGTTGCCACGGCCCTGACTACCAGTGGCCCTCCTCGATCCCATACCCGGGCTTCGTAGCCTGGAAAGTGTATGTCGGCGCCGTTTTCTAGGAATAGCCGCACCAAGCGCAGATTCTCATGGTCCACGGCCCATTCAAGGGGACTTATCCGCTGATACCCAAAGAGACGTACATTCAGGTCTATGCTGTACTCCAGCACGATTTGCGAGACGATGTGGTCATGCCCTGCCTGTAAAGCCGCCTCCAGGGCGTCTAGTTTCTGGCTTGTGCTGGGGCCCGAAGAATCGAGAAAAGTGCCAGCATCACTCAGTTCGTGTGACGGGCCAGCAGCTCGAATGGGGATCGGTTTCTTCTCCCCTGTTGATTGATGCCGGAAGTAGAGCTTCTCCGGAGCATTAGCGTCAGCTTCCCATACGAGCTCCCAGCCGTCGTCCGTATCAATCTCCGCCTGTGAAACAGAAGCTGCTTGACTGGAGTCTGGCGCCATAGCAGCGTCATCTCCAAGGCCAAGATCCTTATCCAGATTGCTTTCGGGTTCTGGCTCCTCTAGCGACATTTGCTTCATGTCAAATCGTTCCTTGTATATATCTTTAGGAGCTGGCCTAAGAGGATCATCCACTCCGTGCTGTGTAAAGTCGCCGATAATGAAGTCTGGTTTGAAAGTAGGCACATACTTCCGCTGTTTGAGGCTATCCCAGTCGACATTGGCAAAAAAAGGGTGCACTTTGACTTCTGATGCTCCCCCTTTGGCTCCCAGGCGAGAATTAGGCTCGCGGTCGAGAAGCCTCGTGATGATATCCTTAGCATCCGGGTCGAGGTTGTCTGGGAATTGAACTGGTTCAGAGCTGAGTATTTTGCGACGTATCTCGATGGTGTCTTCGTCAAAGAATGGCGGTAGCCCGGTCAACATCTCATAGAGGAAAATGCCCAGTGTCCACCAATCAGCCGCTCCGGATCGGTTCTGATCAAGAAGTATCTCGGGGGCCGGATACTCGGGCATTCCGTAGCAACTACGATCATCACCCTCAAAGCCCGGATTATAAAGTCCCGAGCCGCAGAGAACGACATGCCCCAGAGAGTCTAGAAGGACGCTTCGGGGCTTCAGCCATGAGTAGATGCCGCGGCTCTCGTGCAGATATTCCAGTGCGCAAAGAATCTCGGCGGCGTAAAACCGGGCTCTTTCGAGGTTAAAGATTCGCTGATTCTGCAGGTGAGGGAAGAGGTGTCCGCCGCACATGGTGGGAGACAAGAGGTGTAAGCCTTCTTGCGACTGGAAAACAAGCGTGAGCGGCGAGATGAACGGATGGTTGACGTTTTGGGGGCGCCGAACCGCCGGGATCGTCCTTGTGGTGTATCTTTGACGTGTGTCTTTCTTGACGGCCCGAGCACAGTATCCGGAGTTGCCCTTTTGGATCTTGGATTCTTCAGTGAAATCGGCCGCTTGCAGCGTTGTGTCCTTCATGTCCTCATACTTGATGCTGACACGTAGCCGGCCAGTACCATCCTCCACATCTATCCATTGTGACGGTGTCTCGTCTGATGCTGGTGTTTGAGAGACATCTATAGCGATCCGCGCCACACCGATAAAGGCGTCTTGGCTTCGCACACAAGGAGACGCATGCGGATCTCGGAGATAGAGATAGATGGCTAGCTCAGCAGGCCTACAAACGTCGAATTTCCAATTTGCGTCGTGATACTCTCCGGTGACTTCATCAAGCCGCCATGGCGCAATGTCTGACACCCACACGGGATCCTCTGCCGTTCCTTCGTACGAGTCCGCCTGTTGCTGCGATTTGTTGTAGTCCAGAATGGCATACGGCGGGTTGCGCGTGCTCAGCCCTTGTTGATCAGGGTGCCTCTCGTCTTCCTTGTATCCGTCTGGTATTGAGAGGCCCGTTCCCTCGTGGAGTACGACTGTCAGGATGCCCGGCCTGCTTGGTGAGGGAATTGCTTCCTCGGGCTGAGGGCCGAAGCTACCCGGGCTGTGCTCCCTTTTGGCCATTGCTGAGATTCTTGGTTGGTGTCATGATCAAGGCTGGATATGAGAGAGAGGCCAAGTTATATATGTAAAGTATTAGTGTCTGTTGCTGCTGTTATATGCGGGGTCGGAGAAACTTCCTAAACAGGGGCAGAGCCAAGGTGAAGGTGTTGCACCAGGCTGAACTGTCGCCGTCAAAGGATTTGGATGCATTTACCTGGTATCCGTGCATCCCTAGGTAGTCGGAGTAACGGTTCCTCCATGATTGGTTACTCACAGGTATCCAAGTAGATATATAAGTATGGCGTGCAATTCCATTAACATCAATGTGCTCACTATTTACATTTCAGCGCCTCCTCACTGTTATTTCTCTGCTCGTATTCTGCAAATCATACCCATCTGATTGTCTGCATAGGCTTAGGAGGCCCAAGTCTCATAATCTCCATAGATATCCTTCGCCTCAGGGACATCATCCGAGAAACCAAAAACATATGGCATAGATGACGTTCCCACCACCGCCTTGTTCGGCAATATACATGACGAAGTTGGCGCAAACATCTTGGGGAGAAAAATGTATTTCTCCTTATTGAAGGTAATCCACCACTCCTCTTTGTCCTCGTCGTAGGAAAGGCCCCATTTGGTCTCAGCATCTGTGGAGAGATCGAGAGGCAGAGCGCCATAAGGCGTCATGACATGCTGGTCCATGCCGGGAGACAACCACATCTTGGAGTAGGGTCCCCAGTCCACCTTAATCGACGCACCCCTGCTAGAGCAGTCGTCAATATCCCAAACGTGCACCGTCTTGTCTGACGAGGCCGACACAACACGCCTGCCATCCCTTGCTACCACTATGCTGTCAATGGAGGCTGAGTGCCATGTATAGGATGACTTTCTCTCCCACTCGTCGGCCATGTTTCTCTCACACACGACCACCGTGGAGTCATTGTCGCCAGAGACCAAGAATCTCCCATCTGGAGAGAAAGAGGTGCACATAACCCATGATCTATGCTCTCGTAGCGTGCATTTGAGCGGAAAGGCCTTTCCTTTATCGAATGACCAGATACGAACGGAATGGTCGTCCGACGCAGAAGCGATAAATGGTTCCTTTTCGCACCATGCTACACATCGGACCCAATCTTCATGACCATCAAATATGTGAAGGCGGTTGCCTGTCTGTACCTCACACAGGCGCATTGTGCAGTCTGAGGAACCGGAGAGCAAATATTTTCCGTCGGGAGAAAAACTCAAAGACGTCAGAGACCTTTCATGATCGAACTGCATTGAAGGCTTTATCTCTGTATTTGTGTCCAGGTCCCATATAAACACGCTCTCTCCCCGTGCGAACGCCACAGAGTTGGCACCGGGATTTACTGCAATCTCGCATATGCTCCCGTTGAATGAAGTCTGCCTAGAGAGCCGCATTTCCAGTGGCTGGCTTAGCTCACATGCATACCAAAGATGCACTCGAGAGTCATAAGATCCCGAAGCAAGATATGTGCCATTGGGGGCGAACACAGCTGAGCAAATGGTCGAAGGAGATCCGCTGTAGACTTGCAGTTCGGCCCCAGTCTGAGTATCCAACAGGCAAATCTCATCAGAGTTTGTAGCAGCCAATTGAGATCCATTCTTGTCAGGAGAGAAAGCAACAGATGTGATTGGGAGTGTTCGTGAAGCAAATTTGAGCATGTGGAGCTGCTTGCATGCTTTCCAGCTGTCACCCTCGGTTTCTTCTCGTTCTCTCAAGGTCCAGATACCAATGGTCCCGTCTTCAGCCCCAGAAGCCAGAAGGTTTCCATCTCTCGAAAACGCAATGGAATTGACAGGCGAGTTATTTCCATCAAATGTCATGATGTTGGACTTAGCCTCCAGATCCCAGATGTATATCTTGCAGTCCTCCTTGGCAACAGCCAGGAGCTTCCCACTGGCAGTAAAAGCCACTGACTGCACCAAATCTCCAATTTCGTCCATCGGCTCCCTGGTCCACTGGTCAGAGCCGTCTGGAGCTTCGTATAGCCACAGTTTCCAAGAGCTTGCAGCCACAAGCTTGCAGCCGTCTTCTGAAAAGCACAGCGAGTGAATAGTGCCAAATTCCAGGAAGCGAGCGACTTCGCGACCTGTATCAGCTTCCCACAGCGTGATTGAATAATCACTCGACCCGGCAGCTACAATTCTCTGCGAAGAAATTGCGACTGAAAAAATATATCCTCGTCTTACCTCGAGGCAGTGCTGTACCAGCCCAGTTCCGGCATCCCAGATACGTACTGTAGCGTCATCCGAGCCTGATACAATGAGCTTGCCATCGTCAGAAATAACGACGGCGCGAACCCAATCTTCATGGCCTTTCAGAGCTGTGAAGCCTCCCATCCATTGCTGAGTTGCAGCTGAAACTGACGTTATCCAGGGAAAGACTTTCTTTAAGGACTCTTGTTGTACAAGGCTTGCTGTCGGGCAGAAGAGGAGGGAATTGAACGCTGGCATAGTTCCAGGACTTTCTGTGGCCTGGTGTAGACGCAAAAATCGGTGAGCATCTCGAATCCTATTGTGCAGAGACCTCCATTTAGAATGCTATCGGAGTATTTAGTTAGCTGCTTGCTCAGATGATTCGAGTCGATGTGGTAGTTATGGAAGCCCACCTGGAAGCCTAGATCCAATTTCTGTAGCTCCGAAGCTCCAGTTGCTAACAACTCGTGTTGAACCAAGGCATCTGCCCATGGCATGATGTGATCTCGAAGGAAGCAGCACACATCAGAGCTGGTCAATTCAAAGAGTCCGGCCATGTCGTCAGCTAAAGTGGTGGACACAACCTTGGATATCGCCAATAAGTGCGATATCCAATTCACTAGCGCATACTTTGACATTGAGGGTGCCGTCTCTTGCGTATCAGGATTCTCGCGATCTCGTGACTTATCCTTGTTCCACTTGAGATTGAAACAGGCGCGGATCAGCTTCATGTGAGTAAGCGTAAAGTTGTTATTGAGAAACACTTTTTGAACATAGTCTCTGGCTGACTGGTGTTGAAATGAGACAATGCCATCCGTAATCTGAAGAAAATCCGAACACTTTCCAATGATGACCTCTAGATCAACTCTCTGTTTGAGTTGTACCAAAGGCTCCAGCTCAGTTACGTGCAGGGGGCGACGAACGACTGCCATAACCTCCAGCACCTTCTTGCAGAAATCTTTGTCTTTGGAGGTAAAGATTTTGGTCTTGCATATATGATCGTAAAGCGATTTTAGATCTCTGACTTCTGAAATCCCTTTGAGGAAGTCTGTTACCCGCCAAATGGCCTCCGTTTTCAATGCGTTGACGACGATATCGATCCACAAGTAGTTGCAATATGGGTTTTGACGCAGTATTTGAACGACGGTCTCCCTAAGCTCAGGATCATAACTGTTTTCGTTTGCTAGTTTCTCTGCTTGGCTTTGAATATAGTCCCCTAATGTCGTGATGTCGCTTAGATTATGCAGCTTCTCGTGTCGACAGTTTCCCAATGCCTCCTCCATACCAGAAGAGTAGTTGCTCGAAATGAGCCATCGAACTTTGTCTGACTGTTTTATTGAAAAGGTGATGAAGTGGATGAAATCTCCGAGTCCTGGGCATCCTTCCTCGGATGAACATTCATCCAAGGCGTCTACCACAAAACATGTCTTCGGGAAATTCTCGTCTTGCATCATATCATAGAATATGCCGATTAGTGCAAGAAAATCATTTGCATGATCAAAAGATTGCCGTCCGGTCGTCTCATACTTTTGTTGTAGGTGACTTTCAAGCTGCGGCTGCTTGGCGAGGACACACCAAATCAGGTTCCGTAGGGCAGCAGCGGCATTGTCGTGTGCTGGGCTTCTAAAGTCGAAGAAGAAGAATGATAGACAACAGATGTTATCGTCCATTTTAACTGGGCTTCGGAACTGGCGAACTAAACTCAGGAAAACTGTTGTCATCCCTTCACCGATGCCACTTGAAACCCAAAGTAGTTGTTCGTCTAGGCTCTCCCACTTGAGGAACTTTGAGAACATTTCCACGGCTTTGGGCGGGGCCTTATAATCTCGTCCGTGTCCTTGCATCATATTCGCCCAGGGGTTCCCCACATGTAGACTCTCAAGCAGGACTGGCATCTTCGGTTGCTTTGGCTCGTCCAGTTCAGAGTCCACCCTCGTTGGCTGAGCGAGATGCTCAAGCAACTGCTCAAGGGGATTCTTGACCAGATCCTCGTTGAATACTGTAAGATTCTCTTCCAACTTCTTGACCTTTTCCAGCGCTTGGCTTGTATGCAGTATGCGAAAGGACTGGCCAAAAGCTGTGGTCCTAGAATAACGGCAAACCATCTCCATGACATATGATAGTATTGCCGTACACAAGTCGGTAATCCGTGATTGTAAGTTTTCTTGAGCATCTTGATCCAACTCCTTTCTCAAAACCGTCGGTACAAGGCCGTACCACTCCATTCGAGACATGATATAGATAAGACCGTCACGGTCCTCTTTATATTTCGACTCTGGACTCAGCAGAATCTGTTGTCGTTAGCCATGGAACCTCAGTGTCTAACAAATAATTATGAAAGGAAGAAAGCGACCAACGAAGACAAAGAAGGAGAACGAACGGCAACAAGGAAAGGTCAGAGAGGAGAAGATAGAAAGAGAATCATATCCGAACCTTTGAAACGCGACATATACCAGCCCATATTAAAACCATTCCGAGTGGCGTTCTACCAATCAACGAAAGTAGAACATCTCGAAACAAAGATATGACCGAGCTCCTTCCGCCCTCCAAACTTTTCCCGAATCGCTCATTGCTAACGTCTTCGTCCCATTGATGAAGCTGAGCGATCAAAGCATCTTTCATCAGCTGTCCAGCCTCTGTGTCCGTGTGATTGAGCCATGTCTCAATTGTGATCTCGGTAAACGCTCGAGGCATATTGGCATCATGTGTGCCGTCTGGTCCATCACTCAAGACAGTCTCATACCAAAATGCAAGCCTCCAATCGTAATATTGAATATTTCCGTATGCAGTTTGCCATATTCTGTCAAATTCCGGCATGGGCGTAAGCTGTGGAGAATTGGACGGCGAGTTTCTCTCTTGATTATCTTGTTCATTTTCTTCACCCTCTCCAGCCTCCTCGCCCTCTTCAACCTCGCCATTATCTTCTTGTAAGGTACGGTTTGACGATAGGCTCAGTCGGGTTGGTGATTGGTTTGACTGCTGGCCAAGTTTCGAACCTTTGGGTTGCCCTTTGTCTGACTGCTGGTCAAGTTGGTCTGACTGCTGGTCAAGTTGGTCTGACTGCTGGTCAAGTTGGTCTGACTGCTGGTCAAGTTGGTCTGACTGCTGGTCAAGTTGGTCTGACTGCTGGTATAACTGGTCTGATTGCTGGTCGGAGTGACTGTCTGGTACTCTTTGGAGTCGTGGTGGCATAACCTCCTCACTCTTCTCGAATGGTTGGTCTTCCACATTCACTGTTTGAGTCCCGGAATCTACCACAAAATCTTCCGCGTTCTCCTTGACAGGCTCTTGTTCGAAATCCAGCCTTTTAACCCCGAGATTTGCCATAGACAGGCTGTTTGGACTACTGTTGCTCCCCGAAGCTACGTTCTCTGCGGGTCGAGATATGCTGGCGCCTCTGTTATCAGATCTGGCCCATAATCTGGGAAATGACTTTCGAATAGCCTTTTTCAACATTGATCGATCTTTGTTAATCGGCGTACCGGCTCCGGTAGGTGATCGTGAATCCATTGACCATTGGCAGCCTCGGTGCCTAATCTGTCAGCAGAAACCCTAACAGAGGGCAGAGTCAGGAAATGCAGATTTTGAGTGCGAACGATGAAATACATGTAAAGATTGGGCGTGAATGCGTGTAACGCGTCATCGTAAAGGCGCATGCCTGATAAAAACCAAGCTTCCAACTGGTTGGAGGAAATGCAATGTTCATCACAAAGGATCATGCATCAATGACACGAGAATGGACCCCGAATGCAGCCGTGTCAGGCTTTCACTGGCAACTGCAAAGGGATCCTACTCGGCGGCAGTTGTGGCTTCAATATTACCCCGCTTGACCCTTGTTCTGAAATGCGGTGTTTTTTCTTATGTAGAGGTACCAAGAGAGTACGACCTGTCCAACAGCATCCTGAGGATTCTTACCGAACTACAGATACCCAAGTAAGGTGCAGTCCCTTGCTTACCTCGTACTGATCTATTTATGATCCAAGATACTTGTATCTGGGCTCAAATTTCATTTGAATGAGAGCAAGAGACATTGTCACACAATGACTCTTACCCTCTATCTCTCAGTTATTACGACTCTACGAACTCTGCTGGAATCGGTACGGTGAGCTTTGCATATGGCGATGCTGTCCCGTATCAAGTCACATACAGAAGCATCATATGGTTAGGTATTATTTCCCGTATCTTGTACCTTTTGAGCTACAGAAAGTTTGAGGGCTGGCCCTATCCTGGAACTACTTGAACACATTGTCTATCGTAGCCTCAAAGTCCACAGTCTCGAGCGATTTCCCCTTTCCGCACAGATTCTTGAGATGGACGTATCTGATGCTGTCACCCTCGCTCATCCGTTGGAAAGTATCGCGCACTTTTCTGGATCTCCAGTCAATGCCGGGCTCTATTTCGCAATTCTTGGAAAGTCTGCAAAATGCAAGGATGAGTGATGCCGCTCCAGCCGCAATTGCAGTGGCTACGGAACTGCCGCTCACATGCTCCTCCGATTGAAGGAAGGGTATCTGTCCCACGTGAACTTTGTGGCCAAAAAAGCCATAGCTGTAGTCGTCTTGACTGCTCTCCAACAAGCGGCCATATTGGTTACATGCAGCAATTGCCAGAATGTCCTGGTTGTTGACAAGCGTTAGCCTGTCGAAAGTCGATGGCCTCGCTATAGCACCTTCGTCATTGGTGCTGCATAAAATGACAATGTCTCTCTGCTTGGCTTCTATAATAGCGTTTCTCAATTCACTGTTGTTGTCCGTGTAACTGACGAGGCTGAGCGAGATAATGTCAACTTCCTGTTGTACCGCCCATCGTATAGCCTAGATGAGTGCGTGTCAGCTCAGAATCGACATATGTTTACTTCAAGATGAAACTTTCTGAATATAGGGCTGGTCTTACTTCTGCAACAATAGCTGGCGAGATTCCTCTCTGTCGTGTCTCCGCCACTTTGGCGACATAGAGCTGGCAGCATGGATCCACGGAGCAAATAAGCCGCGCCATCTGCGTGCCATGAGGCTCTGAAGCGTGCCACCAGACTTCCTCCTCTTCGTCGCCCGTATACACGAAAGACCTGCCAACCTCAACGCAATGAATCAGGTCACTCGCATTGGGCCTTTCAGGACTCGCTTCTTCCACTCTCAGCTTTGATTTGCCATTGGATATCGTAGAGCTTGCTTCGAATGGCTGTGCTCGTGCTGATTTCTTATTGTTGCCACTGACAATCACAATTCCGCTGTCAATGACTGCTACCTTGGTTCTTGTAACCTCTGCCTTCTGGCTGGTTATGGCCTGATATTTTCTGATAAAAGCACCCAGTTCAGGCCCGACGACGTCATTCGTTCTGTGGATAAATTAGCCCTCCTCCAGGTTCGGGAGGAATGAAACAAAGTCTGGCAGCTGGATCACATACATTTCTGGCGCACGGCGATATGTTTGACGTCCTCCGTCTGCCTCCCAATTGTATTCAAGCACCGAAATGTCTCTCACTCTTTTTGTGCAACGACCGTTCTCCATGATACTGTTGAAGTCGTTCAACCTTTTCCGGAGCTCTGTCTTAACTTCCCTTGTGCGTTCCAAGCTGAGAATATCCTAATTTTTCCCAATTAGTTGACTCCACAAAGGCTGGAAGCAAAATTGTATATATCTACCGTGACAACGTTCACGCAAAGCTTTGTCAACTGCATAATTAGGTGAGTAATATGGCATTTCAAGGGCTTTCGTCTCAAGAGGGGCTAAAAATCATCTGCATACCTTTGGAAAGTTCGGTAGCTCTCGGTACCATTGTTCATGAACCGATGAATTCCCGCTGCTGTAAAGGTGAAGCTCTTGCAAGTGCTTTCTGGTCTCAGTCCCAAATCCGCTCAAAAAAAGGTCGAGTTTCCGCCAATTCAGTATTCTGACGTTCCAATTATTCACACACTTTTCCACGATGTCGTCGGACTGAGGTGAGAATAGGCGGTCTGGGACAGACAACTCAAGTATCTGGTGGACTCCCCTTTTCTGTAACCAGTTGTACATGATCTCCATCTCATTGTAGTCTGTACGAAGGGTGGCGGCTATACCCAAAGGCTGAGTAGTCGCCTGAGCATGCGAGTGTAGGCTCGGACACTTCACATACTTCAGGACTCTCTCAAACTTGAACCTCTTGTTCACCTTCTCTCCCTGGCTTTCCAACTCTTGTATATAGTCAGCAAAGCTATCTCGTTCAGTGTCGATCGGTAGCTGAAGGCAAATGGATTCAGCTGCTCTATGGTCAGTGTCTAAATATCGAGGCGGTGCATTCACCAGCACAAGCTCTTACCATCAACTAATGATCATCACGTCAGTTTAAAAGCTTGAGTGTCTATGGTGTGATATACGTACCTTTTGATAGTTTCAGTATACGGCGTATTTCCCTGATTCCAAGATCCTCATTTGTGCTGCGGATCATGGCGTGTAGCAGCGAGTCCCGAATTCTTTGTCTGATTGCCACAGCAACCTTGTTGCGCTTTGCTTCTTGAGTTGTTTCTTTAGCCAATAGTTGCATTGGATATAGCAAATTTTTCGGCTTTTGCCCCTTCAATGGCTTCTTCTCCATCGACGTCGAGTTGACTTCAGCTTTAGCTTCGACTTCAACTTCGACCTGATCTGGGAACTCTCGAATCAGTTCATCCACGAGCTCAGCATTTCGCCATTCCACTGCCAAATGCAGGAGACCTTTCTTCTCTTCTGGCTTTCCGACAAACTTTTGGCGTGATTCGTAATCGAAGTGTTGCCAGATTGCCCTGCTACCCTTCTTCATGACTAACTCCGCGCTGTTTTGAGTAACAAATTTCTCTGCCACTTCTGGTCCACTTTCCTTCAATAGAAAGTCGATGATCTTAAGAGAAGATGATTCAATTGCTTCTGCCCAAATGCTGTTCCATATCTCGTTCTCTTGAGTCGTTATGAACTTCTCAATCATCAATTTGAAACCCTCCAATGGAGACTTTTGGATACCTTGGCCGTCGTCAATGGTTGCTTCTCCCGACTGTGAATGAATCGCTGTCTTTTGAATGATGAGTCTGATACTATCGATATCAGCAAGCTCTGGATATTCTTGCAGGAAGAACTCCAAAACATCGAATCGTGACCTTTCAAGTGACCAAACGAACGCTGTTTTGCCGCTTCCATCCTTTCTTGACAAGAATTCTTGCCTCGCTTTTCCCTTAATGTCCTGGACCTCCAGGGTGGGATTCCGCCGTCTCAAATGGCTGAGGAGATCTTCAACCATAGTCTTGACCAGTCCGACAGCGCCTTCTCGCGCGGCAAAGTGAAGAGGAATGATTTTATCCGAACTGCCATCTATGGGTTCGAAGGCCTTCTCCGGATAATTGCGACATAGAATTTCTGTAATGACAATCGCTGATGGACGATCCCAGTCATCATCATTGTTTGCGTAGTATTCCACCGCTGTTTTGAATAGTTCAATTGGGTTCAATTTTCCTCCCTTTTTTTGGAATTTCAGTATATTTGTCAGCTGGTCCTTCGGCAGCGCTGTGATGCTACCATCGGTATGGTGCGTATGGCTCATATAATTGACGATAGCTTGATTAATACTGCGATAAGTTTTGGAGGCACTGGTTTTTTGAAGTTCTTCTTGCAGTGATTCCAGCGTCTTATTTTGCTTACCAAAGGAGTCCAAGAAGGACCTGCTCTGAGGTGTAGCATCCGGCATGTTGAGCCCATGAGATGAAATCGGTTGAGAAATTGCGAGGGTTCAGACAAACATGCTGGTGAGAAGTAGAATCGGTGACAGTACTGTAGAAAAGCGAAGGTAATGTGCTTGACGGTGGCGAAAGCCAGCAAAATAACAGTTGGCAAAAGACTAGTCCACTGGTGAGGGTAAATGTATCTTAGTTGTACTGAGAACACAGAGATACCTGCCACATAGTCACACGGTGTTATCTTTCTGATCCCGGGAGAGCTGAATCGCTGCCAATCGTTGCTATCACAAGACATACTTCTGCAGGGAGAACAGGGATCTTTCAGCCGCACTTGATGCGAGGGCACCCAGTTCAAGGAAGAAGGAAGAAAAATACTAGAAAGCATTGCCGCCCAACATGCCCGACGAAGAGCGGGCAAGCTGGTCGAAGCGACATTTGAGCTTTGGAGCCTTACGAATGTTTCCGAACGTCGCCCAGGCCTAACGCAAGAATAATGAGGGGGGTTGGCAACAACCGGGACAGCAGTCGCCGTTCACTCATATTCCCTCGAGATCTCGAACAATCAACTACTCCCTATGTCCGGATGAACAGTATTCCTAAGCATCATGGGTTCCGAGCGATATGCGTATGCTTCCTGGGAGGAGGCTCTGCATGAAGAAATAGAGCCCGACTTCGGAGACAGAGATGGTGCTTTCAAGACCAAGAACCCCAAAGATCAACGGTAAGCTTACAACTATGCACATCGGAAAGCGGTACTGCCGCCTCTTCTGGAAGTGATTGTTGGCCTGTACAAGTGGGAATATCGATATTCTAACTCATTATATAGCTGGCAAAGGCGCTTCGTTCATGTGCAGAACAAAGAGTCCAAATTCAGAAAGACTGTAGAGACTGTGTTGGTGGTGCATGGTTGGAAGACCCCAAAAATGATAGAGCCTATGTCGTTGATCGTCTTGAGCGTAAGCCTCGACTGCCACAAAAAGGACTTTCGTTTCGAATCGGTTCGGATTTGGCTCGCCTTTGATGAGGACCAAGGAGCAATTCCTCCCAACTCAGAAGACGCCAAGCCGGAAGTTGTTGCGTACGCACCGTTTGTCGCACCACAGAACTGGCATCTGTCTGAAGAAAAGATCGAAGAGAAGACTACTAAGCGTGGGGCCTTGAGCATTGAACAGGGTCCTAAAGCTGGACTAGAGCTTAGCAAAGAGATTCGGCGCTCACACACCCGCACCCATTTCGATCGCGGCACGGCCGACTGGATGGTTGATAAGAACCAGAGAGCCTATGGCGTTAACTGGTACTGCGAGCAGAATCATCTTGATGAGTGAGTGGATCCAAAACCTCAAATAACAGTATAAAATATGAGTTTTGCTTCTAATGGTACATTGACGACAATTCAGTTATGGAGTCAAGCCTCAGTTTCACATCGCGGTCCTTCTGAAGCGACAGCACACAAAGAATGACAACAAACCCGTCTCGTTCAAGGGAGTGTTTGATATGCGTGTCGAAGCGGGCTTCCGCGTCGACTTCGAACAACTGCGTAGGCGCATGTTTCGCGGCGGGAAGCCCGAAGACGAAGCCATCTACTACGATCCGAATATGGATGATCAAGTTCATGGGAGAAACAGCGTCGGGGAAAGACTGAGGGCTAAGATTGATAAGAATAACCTCGGCGAATTGATGGGAGGACCTGATGGCAACTGGCTGAGTGGAATAGTAGATTCGAACGGGGATATTTCAGGACTAGACCCCTTAGCTCCAAAGACGGATTGAAAGAAGTCTCGTTATCTACATCGTTGTGTTGGAATGCGTCCAGGTCTTTCGTGCTTCTTCTTGCTGCCGGGCAGCTTGTCTAATACTCAAAAGTCGTACTAACGCTCAAGAGCCTCAGCTTCGGTCGGCGCCTTGTGGAGTAGGCTACGGAGTATTTCCAGCTAAATGCAGATACGCATAAATTAAGATTAGGACTGATAAGGTATGGAGTAGAAGCTAATTTGAATATTGGAGTAACAAGTTCGCCAGATCCATTTAATGATAACCTGGCAAGCCTGGCTTCTCGACTTACAACTACCTGTACCCCATACTGATCTCAAGAATAGAGCCAATCCACGTACAGCCACATTGAAATCGCACTCTACAATACAGAAACCTAGCAGATTATATAAGCATAGTTTCTCGGTTGCTCAATTTCATTTCCCGTTTCATTGTCTCATGCGTCCAGCTCAAGCATAAGAGCTAAGTGCGGAATCAATAGTAGCAACATCTTGAGTCGATTCTTTCTAGAGCTTGCTGACGAATTCCTCACCTTCCGGAGTATTGAGAAACGCGGCACCACTGTCGACTTCAATTAGCCAATATTCGTATAATCCTAAACACCGGCACAATGTGTACTTACGAGTCGATCTGGTTATGCTGCAAAAACTTGCCGTTCGTCTCAGGGCCCGCAATGACTGTCGCATAGATCAGCGTGCGAGCGCCCTCTGCAACTGTACGACCCGTAGATTTGCGGATGAGCCCCATAGGAAGCTTGAGATAGAAGGGCAGGTTCTTGTCTACACCAGTCTGTACAAGCCCAGGACAAGCGTTGTTCACTATGACTTCGGACGGCGCCAGAGCAGCCAAGCGGCGGACGTAGGCGTTGACCACGGTCTTGGTATCTGCGTAACGATATAACTTGTCGAAATTGGCTCCGTCGTCGAAGTGCCCGAGTACCGTACTATCGGGAGATATGGGCCTCCTGGTGAGTGTGTTTTGCTTGATGTGAGTTGCGGATCCCGTAAATGTAATGCGGGAGGGTACTCCTCTGGCTGCGGCGGTCGACCGCAATAGAGGGAACAGTTCGAGGGAGATGAGGAAATGAGTGTAGCAATTGACTTTAGTTTTCAGGTATTAATCAGTAAGGTCAAGTCCCAATACTGAGTGCACTCATATAGGCTTTACCTTGCATGCTCCACTCATGACCACTTTTGCTTTTCTCATATTCTAGTAAGACCTGTCCGCCATTATTCAGGAGGATATCAAGCTGTTTGATCTCAGACTTCACCCTATTTGAGAAGCGAAGTCCAGACTGGTAGTCGTCAAGATCAAGCTCAAACACGTCGATAAAGGCATTTGGATTGGTCCTTTTGATGGTAGGATGAGCACGGAGGGCGGAAGCGGCTTCTTGCCCTCTGGTGATGGAGCGGCATGCCAGAATAATGTGAGAAGCACCTAAGGTGAGGTATTGTCTCGCAGCATCATATCCTAAGCCAGCATTTCCACCGGTGACGATGATGGTTTTGCCACTGACGCTAGCATCACCGGGAGTGGGAGGGATAGGAGGCTGACCCATGGCTGGAGACAAGAGTGTGACATGGGCGGTCAGTGGAAACTGACGGACCAGAGCCCTGAACATGTTCTTTCCATCAATATTTCGGTGACAATTCCAAATTATTGAATTCCAAATTGTTGTGATAGACTAGGTCATCAGGTTTAGGAGTAACGCACATGGTGCGGAAAGTGATATCCAGCTATGGTCTACAGATCTAGGCTGAATGCCGCCCAGGGTGTCTTAAAACTACACGGATGACTAAGAAACGCGCTGGTGCTATAAGTCATAGAATGTTGTTACCTTAGTTGCCTGCACAACAAGTGAGAGAAGTGTTCTGCTATTGGGTATCTATCACAATTCTTGAGGACGACGTCTGACTTTGTTAGCAAGAAGATAACACAAAGCCTCCCCGCAATGATTGCAAATCCATTTCCACCCGTTTACAGAAAGAACGCATAAGGGTTGGGAAAGCCCATTGATTGGGACTAAGACGTTATTACCCTTGAACTCTGCTCGCCTCAGAATTTAGAACCAACGTCTTGTCTCGAGCCGATCCGCAGCCCAAGTCCGCAATCTAAAATTCTATGAGGGAACGGACTTTAGAACGTCTTAGAATGCTCTGATATCTCACATGTGGTTCGATGTGCCTGATCCATGTACGGATGCGCTACCTAATGACCACGACGCGAGACAATGTGGTCATTGATGAGATGATGATTGCTGCAGCCTTGGGTGTTGTCTCGTGGTTGCACTAGGAAGACGCTGACTATATCTGACAACTTCAAGCTTGACGGCAACTGTAGACCCGTTCCAAGGTTGATTCTGCTCTGGGTGAGGGCAAGCCGCGTAAATCTGACATCCAGCATCCTAGGCTTATTGATATAAAGTAAAAAGCAATTCTTTGTAATCTATTTACTAAAAATAGAAGCATATAGCAAGACTAGCAGTAGATATCGAGAGGAGCAGAGAATAAATGCTTTATCTTTATATTCTATATAGTAGTAATATTAGTAGTAGATATATATATTTCTATTTATTAAGATGCTAGATAACTAGTTAGGGTGCTGGCTAACCGCTTCCTAATCGAAGAACTTATAATGTTCATTTTTGGTTGGAGTGTTACTCTGATTATTACTGGCAATAATGATAATATTCTAAGCTTAACAAGTTTTAGAAAGTTCTGTTGCTTAATATCCAAGTGCTTCTGGACTTAACTGTGAACAAGCTTCACATCACAATGGCGCACCTGAGACTGTGGCGTGGCTGAGAAGCCTTGACCTAGGCATGACTTAATTATAACCTTCTCTAAGCCAGACGTCGTTGTAAACGCTATCGAAAACGTAGATGGTCGCTTGTCTTAAGAGTTTGAGGCTTATACCTAATCCCAAATTGCCGAGTTCATCTTGATGCCCATAAACACAACAATCTCCGTATAACTTGCTCACTTGCGCTTTACAACATTTCTTGCCCGAGCTTCTCACTTTTACCGCACAATCCGCTTATTTGCTCCCATCCCCTTGCATAACACGGGCTTGGGTCACCTCACGCACTTAACCCGCGGCTGCAGCTTCCCAATACCTTTTTGCCCCATAGCGGCCCGCGTGGCTCATTCTTCTTTCATTTCTGCTCGTCAGTTGTTTCTCCCAAATTTCACACATATTTCTGGCATCAGTAGCCAAAGAGGTTGAACCAGCTCTGTGTCGACCATGGATCTCCTCGCAGCGTGTGAAGATCTTGCCGCCAACGTGGCGGCCTTTGACGTTGCTGATGACGATGATTCATCCCACATTTCAGATGCTGATATGACTACATGGAAAGCTCTCTTTGGCTTTCCGAGCAACGAGGAGGCGACCAAAGCCATCCGCAGTTGGAGAGCCGACTTTGCTCGCCAAACTATATCACAAGCTGCGTGGCTTCTGGTCAAGGAAGCAAAGGTGGCCGAGGGCTTCAACAAAGAGTCCTATGAGTACAGCCTGTGGAGGGCACAAGCAGCAGCCCAACAACCGCGACCTCGCCTGCAGACGCCGAACAACGGGACGGCCAAAGGCGACGAATCGAAATATCTTGTCAAGCTGGAATGCGACTCCTCGACATCGACGGGCTCGGTTGACTTGATCCGTTGCCTCCCCAAGAGCCTCAACATTCTCACCGGCTTTGATGACGAGAACAAACCGGCTCGCTTCTGCCTGTTATCAGGTAGCCAAAAGACGGAGTTTCTTGACGTTGTATCGAAAGCGTATCCTTCTTACAAGCCGATGCTGATTCGTACATCTGTTGCTTCCAAAGAGCTATCTTCATCTCTCTACCCAACACTCGGAGCTGACACAACACTGCCGCAATTCCGAAACAACTCTCTCTGCGAGGTCATTCGGCCAACGCAACACGAATACCCTGTTTGGTATTTCTTCTACGGTACCCTTGCTGATGCTGACGTCCTCTCTCGCGTCATCGGCCGGACTGAAGACAAGGCTTCCATCGAGAAGGGCTACAAGCGTGCTCGCATTCGTCGGGGACGACTCTCTATGCTGGGCGACAAGTACCTTGCTTTGGTGGATGCGGACGAAGACTCAGTATTCGATGGATGGGCGTACCAAGTGAAGAACCAAAATGAAGAGGACTCGCTTCGAGTGTACGAGACGGCGAAGTACGAAGTGGTCAGGTGCACAATGGAGGTTATGGAAGGACAGGGAGGGATTATCAAGGGGCTCACTTTCAGACTTGCTTAGACCTACCCTTTCTCCGCAGATCTTGGATGAATAATCCCAAGTTCTTTAGACAGTTGTATTGATACCTTATTAATAACCCAGGGCACGGCTTTTGCATGTAGACCGTGCTCTTGCGGCTAGCTATGGTGCAATGATGGAACGTTCAGCTGGTTGGGAGTGTGGTTGCCTAAGAGTTGCCCATTTCCTTGCGGTGTTACATACAGCTCGCTTGCAATTAGAAGCCACAAAGAAGCCATAAAATTTCCATCTAGGGTGCTGAGTTGGGGCCTGGGTACATATTCGAGAAGGTTGAGGCCGGCTGTCGGCAGAGGTCAGGGGTGAAGCTTAGCAGCACAGTTAATGGCTCGACCCGGACGATTCTCGTACTATTTGTCAGTTGAAGTCGAGAACGAGTAACCGAATGCCCAGTGATACCACTATTTCAGTCGACGCCACTCTGGACTGATTCAACGTGGAAGGATTCCAGCTGCCTCAGCTCTAGCCATGGTCGACAGGCAAGTGTCGTCCTATCTTGGCGGACTTTCGACTTGTGCATGGACGTTCTCTAGATCAAGGCAAGTTAAGCCGCTCGCCCCGTCGATCAGTTCGAATGTCGGACTTACTGGCTTTTAGCGCCGTGTAGCCCCTGTCCTCGGCCCGTCGAGGTGCATACAGATAGACGTGGTTCTGCTGCTACAAATAGAGATTGTGGCTCGTACCGTAACAAGAGGAGATGGGACGTGATTCACGTCTTACCCGGAAGGTGGGGGACGCTACCCCAGTCGTTCAACCCGATTCGATGCTGCGATTGCCAAGCTTCGCGATGCTTACATCGTATCAACGTGGTCCTCCTCGCAATCCTTGCTAGACGCGTGTAAGCCAGGTACCAATCTCCACTAGGCAGTAGGTAGTAGTAGTAGTACCCTTTCAAGACAGCATGTCCGTATCTTGCTTCCAAATATGAATCTGTAGCATGTTTGCCTGGGTAAAGATGTGGTGGATATAGCGCTTCCAAGGGTGCAGAAGGGTATATCCGCGGCACAGTCAGCAGAGGCCGTTGGGAGGAACACGCTCTCGACGATTCCCTCGCTTCATTACCCAATCTGGCCCGCGTCATCCGAGCTGTCAATTCGGGACTTTTGCCGCCGTGTAATAACGCAATCAACCAAGGATCGTAGCCTGAGAGTGAGAATCTCCGGTGCAATCGGGCTCGGGTAGCCCTTTGGCAACCCTTGCAGGCAGATGCGGCACCTACCATGTGTCTGCAAGGAGTGAACAATGTTTAGCATCCAGCTGAGCACTTTACTGCGGTTGTGAACCGGTATTTAAGCTCTATTGTCTAGAAACAATGGATCCGCGGATCTCCCATACCGATCTGGGGAATACAGCAGATCATTGCAGGGAGGCTTGGGAGGGTAGCACATACTACAACACAATGTACCTCTCGCACTCTCCTTGCTCCATGAAGACAAGTGACAGACGTTTGATCCGGCTGCCGGTTGACAGCGCCAAGCGGTGGAAGACGTACCCTACAGGGAGAGAGAAAATAGAAGCCGAAGGGACGTTGCTGCCGTAGGAGTGGCCCGATATGCAGATGAGATGATGTAGATTGTAGGAGCGTCGAGCTAAACGAAGATCCTGGAGATGAGACAGCCGGGGTCCGTCGGATGTCCATATGCGATGCTAGAAGACTCAGTGATTCCTTCGGTTGTAAGCATTTCGCTTTAAGGCTTTCTCCGAGCCAATAAGACGGTCGACAGGGCATGGGCCAGCCCACAGAAGGAACGGCACTCTGTCAGCGGCCTTACAAACCAATTCCATCGTGGTATTTGATGCGTTCAAGTTGTATTGCGTACGGAGTATGCCCGAGAGAGCGGCTGTGGTGTACTTTGAATTTGCGCCTGGCACGGCTTGATGGCATACTCCCATCGATAGTGCCTGTGGTATCGGAAACAGAATGCATTCATAGTGCATACAGAGGGCATACGGAGTGAGTACAGACATGCTAGCTGAAACCACGACTTCAAGCTAGGTATCTGGCTGATGTGTAACCAAAGCCAAATTGTGCCACATAGAGTATCCCGAGGGGGCGAATGACGAATAGGGTAGTTCAGTTTTCTACCAAGTTTGAGGCATGGCCAAAGACTCAGACCTAGAACTCAATTGGACAAGGTTGATATGTAGGATCAAGGAGTCGATAAGGGCCATCCAAACATGTATAGTGTTAACGCTAGCGAATGCAAGAGTTGAGCGATTCAGCCGGGCTTATTGCTCGATACCCCCACACACACTTGCAGGATCGCCACGCGAGGCCCATAAAGGCTCGACAGCGGTAGATGACCGGAGAGGCGATAGATGACTGAAGAGAACCTGGAACTGGTCGAACAGTAGGGAGGCCCGCTGGCTGCATGTGATTATGCAAGCCAAGCCCCCCTGAAGTCTGTCGACCAGGTACCATGTGCAGTAATGGCAGTTGTCTGCGAGTGTTCGGGGCCTCTTACGATATGGTATTACTCGCAATTGCCTTTGAGAATCCTTCGAGTCCCGCGGTGCCTTGTATATGCATGGTTTGCGTGGTCCCGCTTGTAGATAGAAGCTAGAAGTAGAAGGAGACTGCCTGCTAGGCTACAGGGGGGCCAATCCGTATGCTATCATATAATGCGCCTCCCACTACTGAATCATCATGCCATTTGTACTGAGAATAATTCATGGCATCTGTGTTGGAGGGGTTTCTGTCTGATCTTGATCTACCTTGACTTACATCCCGACTTGATATCCGACCTTTTCAACAGGCCAAGTGAGGTACCATTAAGGTAGTCATTCATCATGGGGAGCAGCACCACCACCACTGGTGAAGGCACTCGGCAACAGCCTGGACTGGCATGTGAAGAATGTCGCAGGCGCAAGGCACGCTGTGACCGGGTCAGACCAAAGTGTGGGATCTGCGCTGATTCTGGGAGGAACTGCGTTGTCCTGGACAAGAGATCTCAGCGAGGCCCAAAGAAGGGCCAGCTGAAAGACTTGCGATCAAGGTTGAGTGAGTTTACCAATCCCAAGCTCGCAGGAGCAATAACATGGAGAAAGTGTCGCTGACGACGATATGCGTCGTCTTTTACAGTGCTGCTAGAGCAGCGACTGGTTGGCCAAGATGATGCTCTGAATATGCAACAGGAGCGCGACAGCCTGAGTTGCCCAACACCATCCGAGAAAGTGAGCCCGGAGCGCGACTTCGTCTCCTCGAGCGCAAGCACAGACATTGGGTTGGACACAGCAATGAGCTCTACTGCCGGGGCATTTGCGCTCTTTGGCTCAACTTCTGGCTCAGACAAGATGCCGCCACTTACACCAGACCTCACGACGGCGACAACGGCGGCCTCAATGGCATCTTGCATCTGCAAGGGCTGGCAGACGGAATCTGGGATGTTCTCAACAAGTCCTTTTCCGCAAATTCCCATTACTCCACAATCGACGACTGCCCCCAGCCGCATGTCGTCCATGTCACTTGCTACCGCGGACCCAGTCATGCCCGACGTAGTATTGATGGAACTGTAGTCAAGCCTCCCCCTTCCAGGAACACAAGCCAACCTTGAATGGACGGAGATGGGCTAACATGACGAGTGGTTGCAGAGATCTACTTTACTTCGAGAGAGTCCACCCCTTTGCGCCCATGGTCCACAAGCGACGGTATTATGCCTGGGCCAGCGACGCAAACGTCTCGCCGGCTCGCACCGCTCTGCGCTCCGCCATGAGGACCATTGCCTCGGCCATGTCGCCCCAGTTCTGCGATATAGGACAGGTCATGTATGCTTCCACGCGGCGCATGCTCGAGACGCAGGATGCATGCCCAGACACCGGCCTCCCCTGGATGACGAGACTCAAGCCGCCGCATGAGCAGCCGAAGATTGACCACGAGCGCATACAGGCCTGGCTCCTGCTGGCGTACTACGACGTCTTGCGGAGATCCGAGCACCAGGCCTTCATAACTGCCCGGCGAGCATTTCGCCTTCTCCGCCTCTCTGGCCTGTGCGAGATGGATGTGGACGCCTGCAGCGGCGGACAGGGACACGTTGCGACATGCACTCCGCCCGCCGAGACGTCGTGGAACATGCAGATGTGTCCGTCAGAAGGTCAAATGGATGAAGTGGGTTTGCAGCAGGATTGGGTCTCTGTGGAGGAAAAGAGGCGGACTATCTGGAGTGCCTTTCTCCTCGATCGACTTTCGACAATGGTCAACGACCAGCCCACGATGCTGATGGAAGAAATGGTAACAAAACCCTCACACATGTATCCATAATCTAGGCTCTTCTCAGCTAACTTGCTTGTCATCAACCAGCTTTACACACGTCTTCCCATGTCAGAGGTCGAGTTCCAGAGCGGTGCCCAAGAGCCCGTCTCACAAATGTGCTTCCTAGTCGAGGCAACAGACGGAAACAAAGCCGGTAACGGCATCAACTCATCATTGACTCCATTTGCCCACTGCGTCGTCGTGGCCAATCTCTTCGCACGCTGCATGACACATTGCAAGCTGGCCATGCAGTCCCCTCCCTTGTCTGCACCCGAGGCTCAGGACTTTTGGATACGACATCAATGGCTAGCATCGGCGGCTGCAAACGCGTGCGAGTCTGCGGTGACGCGGTGTGATCCAATGCTGGTCTTTACGCGCATCTTGGCTTTCAGCGCGAGCTTGTCACTGTGCAGTACTGCAAATGCTACGTCGTGGCAGACGCTGGATCACCACTTGATGGCGATGGCTTGTAAGCCGGCTGCGCATCAGGCTGCTTCCCAGGTGGTTCGCATCATCAAGACGGCTCCTCGGATTGCATTCTTCAAGGTATGTCATCTATCAATCCCTCACCCGACTTACCATTTGTACGCGTTGTTACTGTGTTGATACTGATACTGGCTTGCATAGATGCACCCCTTTTTCCCCAACGCCATCGCCCTCGTGGCGAGCTTTCTTAATGCTGACGTGCCTTATCTACCGTCGACGCGAAGTAGCAATGCAGTGGACACAGTTCAGGAGAGACAGGATGCCGTCAACGAACTGCTTGCGGCGCTGCGAAGGTCAAGTCAGGTGAATAACTTGGCTGCAGAGCTCTTGTGCAAGCTGGAGTTGGACATTGGACAGACGGCAAGCGATGGAAGCGTGAGTCAGTTCGACCAGGCTGATGGTGTGTGGACATGAACAGCAGGTTCCTCATCTGCTTTTACATACGACTACATAGATTCAAGGCTACATATCGGAGTGCAATGGAACATAGGCGTCAATACATACATTCGACATGGTTGATTCACGCTCTTCTTCTTTTCATGAGAAGTGTCTAAGCAGTGACCTTAATGCTGGCATAAACACGCGTATACCTCAGGCTTGCATCTGAATAACACCCTCTATCTCGTACACTGGACGTCACGGCCTTGATCCGATTTCTGTGACCATCCAACCCGAGTTCCAGTGTCCGGGTCGCTGTGCCCTCCAATACGTTGTGTGCTCCCCCATGGACATTGATCATCATCAGCCGCAGTGTAACCTCTGGTAACTTTTGGAAGCTTTTGGAAAGCGAAACTGTAGAGTAACCTCGCCTGCATGTCAGAAGCGTTCCACATCTCACTAACGTAGCATCTGCTGCGGGCTGAAGGATTCGGACATGCTTGCACACAGCCCTACTGTATCTCGGCTATGAAGGCATGATCGTCGTCTCTTCTGTTGACGCAATGTGGCCTGAGATTTGCACAGATTCGGGGCAGTGCGCTTCGAGAAACTCCGGCATATGATTCGCCTCGCGAGATGACTTGCCTGTTGAGGCAAATTGCCTGCTGGGGTTATTGTAATAACTCCGGACGGCGATTGGGTCGGCCGCAAATGAAAGATGACGACCAGGATAAGCAGAGAAGACGCAATATGGAACTCGGCAATCCTACTCTCATCGAGATTGTGGTCACTAGTAAGGTGAATACACTGTATTGTTCATGACGCTTGGGGCCTGTTCAGATCGACATGGTAGGAAGCCAACAATCTTGGCATTACGGGAGAGACGAGGAACGCTCCTGGGGGGGAAGATAAAACCCTGATTGCATTTGCAAAACTTCCAAGGAGAAGTTTCTGAACTGAGATACGGGATACGGGCTGTCAATTGCTTCACGCTGCAAGTAAACGTTGGTTGCAACCCTTTCGGCTATCGCTGGGAGAATTACTACCCACATACAACTATTATCAGAATGTGGCCGGCTGCAGGATTGCCTTGCCGCGCCTTGTAGAGTAGACCAGTGGCTGAAGACTTTCAGTGGGACGAAATGATCTATCAGAGGAATAATCGGCTAGACGAAGGAAGGGGTGCATGATGGGTAGCGTCCAACGATGATCGGCCGCCGTCGGACGTGCCTCGGCCGCGGCGCTTGGTCGGCTCGGTCCGATGCTGGGAACAGATCCCTTCCGCTTTATCCTCCGTAGCTTTCAATACTCGACAGTGAAATGTTGGAGTCCATGTGACACTTGACTCGCAGTTCCACGTGGTTCATGTAACTCTATCTTGACCCTTATAAAAATGCTTCCCGAGTCATGAAAGAATGAGCAGTTTGAGATTACCTAGTCAGTCGAGCCACCGTCAGGGGTGCCGGCGTTAAGCAAGCTTCGGTTGACAAAACGTCGACTCTGGAATTGAGCAATCCTTCGATCCTTTGAAACAAATTGTCCACCCAATGCTGAAGAGACATCCGTTTCCCCTAATAGGCAATCAAACAGCCGATGCCTTCACCTAATAAGATGGCCTCATCGCTAAATAGCTGGTTTAATCGATAGCCGTAAGATGGCTCATGATTACGCCGACGGAAACTATATCCGGAGCTGACACCACATCCATGAGTCTACACAGAATAACTCCGTACTCCGACCTCGTCCAAGCCACGCCTCGTTCGAGCGCAGGCTCAATAGCAGTTGATTTTGCTTATCTATGTCTACCGGTTATATAAAAATGTGGGATCAGACTTGCGTAGAGATAAAGCAACGACAGTGATAATCTTGAACCGACGGGTGGTCCGACGCTCTAGACGCCATGTATGCCCCCCCTCATGTCCAAGCAATAGGGATCGCAGCCCTTGCCGTCCTCCCATCCTTCTTCTTCGCCTCTCCCGCAACCGCTGCAACTCTACAAGCGTCCGGATCTTCGTCATCCTGCAGATGCTTCCCTGGAGATGCCTGCTGGCCATCCCCGGCCGAGTGGAATGCCTTCAACCAATCCGTCGGCGGCCGTCTCATCGCCACGGTCCCGCTTGGATCCGTCTGCCACGGCACCACGTATGATGCCACACGCTGCGCCAACATCCAGGCCGCATGGCCATATGCAGATACGCACACGGATTCGTCTAGCTCCGTTCTTGCGCCATTCTTTGCGAACCAGAGCTGCGATCCGTTCCTCTCTAGAGAGACCCCCTGTGTCATCGGGACCTACGTCCAGTATGCTGTCAACGTCTCTGGCATTGCAGACATCCAGGAGAGCCTTGCATTCGCGCAGAAGAAGAATCTCCGCTTGGTAGTAAGAAACACGGGACATGATTACTTTGGAAAGTCCACTGGAGCCGGGGGTCTGGGACTATGGATGCATAATCTCAAGACCTACGATATCTTCGACTACAAGTCAGCTGCTTATACCGGGAAAGCGGTGACCATGGGCGCTGGTATCCAAGCAGGAGAATCTGCTGCTACTGCTTTCGAGCACGGTCTCACCATTGTGTCTGGAATATGTCCGACTGTTGGTCTCGCCGGAGGATATACCCAGGGCGGCGGCTTAGGGCCCCTGACCACTAGATATGGACTTGGGGCTGATCAAGTGTTGGAGTGGCATGCGGTGCTTGCAAACGGCACAGAAGTCACCGCCACCCCAAGCAAGAACAGCGATTTGTTCTGGGCCTTGAGCGGTGGTGGTGGCGGCACATATGCCGTCGTGTATTCGATGACGGTCAAGGCACACGCAAACGAGAGGACGACAGGAGCAAACCTCACGTTCCCAAATGCAGGGTCAGAAGATGTCTTCTTCCAAGGAGTTCAAGCATTCCATGACATTGTCCCTGCGATATCCGACGCTGGGGGCACGGCGGTCTGGACGGTGCTTTCCCAGGCCTTGTCCGTTGGGCCTGTTACCGGGCCGAACATGACCAAGGCGACCATGGATAGCATCTTCCAGCCTGTCCTCCAGAAACTGGATGCTCTCAATATTACATACTGTGAGTTCCCCCCTCCTCGTGCGTCACGTCCCTCCCATCACTGCTAGAGCATGACATGACTGAATGATAATGACCGATTATAGCCTATTCCTCTGGGGAATTCTCGAGCTTCTTTGAAAGCAACGCCGCGTATGATCCACCGGTGGTGTCCAATGGTCTCCAAATTGGTGGCAGACTCGTAAAGCGATCGGACTTCACGGGGAATCCCGATGGCTTTATTCAGGCCCTTCGCACTAATGTTGACCAAGGTGGACTGGTCACCGGGGCCTCATACCAGCTATCGAGCAGCCTTCAACAAGCGCCCAACTCGGTGAACCCGGAGCTAAGGAAGAGTTTGATTTCGTTTCAAATTGGGGTGTAAGTTTACTCTTCTTGAAAAACCTGGTGGAATTGTTGCACCACTATTCATAGAAGGTTATTGACGAGAATACTTAGACCGTGGATCAACACAAACTGGGCTACAGACCTTAAGAACCAGGATCTCATCACCAACTCATTCGTGCCTGCGATGGCTGCCCTTCTTCCCGGTGGAGGCTCTGCTTACCTTAACCAGGCTAATTTCCGGGAACCAAACTGGCAGCAGGTGTTTTACGGAGAAAACTATGATAGACTGCTTGAGCTGAAGAACAAGTACGATCCAAACCACGTTTTCTGGGGAAGGACCACGGTTGGAAGCGAACAGTGGGCTGAGACGGACGATCATCGACTCTGTCAAGTCTCATGAGGGGCGTCATGGCATTGAAAGGTAGAAAGGAAAACCCGAGCTGAAAATGAGGGGCTTACAAGGAGTAATTGAACAAGCATCTTATTTTTTTCAGTGAGAGGTAAAATGTATCCACCGGTGGGTATGATTATAGACAAAGGACAAGATATCGCGATGCTGGAAACGAAGCTGTATCTACAATCTCTGTCCGGTCCTTGACAGCTCATCCTCCTTCCGATGACCTATACGCTAAATAGAAAATCGTCGAGGTCAAAGTTTACATCCTGGAACATGTCATCCAAGAACAGGCCTGGGGCTCCATCATCCAGAGCCATAACGCCATTTCCATCTGCATTCAGACACCGAGCATTCAAGATTCTCGCTGCCAGCATCTCGAAAGTCCGAGCACATTGATGAACGTACAAACTCAAGTGCTCGTGCGCCCTGAGAACTGCTAGCACTTGATACCAGGCTCGTTCGACTGACGGGGTGAAGAGGTCAGGGGCAAACATGGCCGCCAGAAAGTGGATGCCAGCAATGTGCAGATAGTAGATCCGGTACCACCAAGGCAGGATGCCTATTGATTCGCTGGGGTCGTGGATCTCGGCAATGAGCGATGTGAGCTTCTGTGCTGCCTCAAGGCACATTCTGGCACATTCTCGAAGGAGGCGGTCGGTTATCGTGGGAGGATCGGAGGCTGCTGCAACCGTGGGTGCGTGGCTTTTGATGGCGTATAGTCGTGCAAGCATAGGCCGGTGTAGATAGATTCGAGAATGAAGGAGCCTAATCGCCGTCAGCAAGGGAAAGGAAATTGAAATGAGATCGCACGGGCAGAGAAGGGTAGCGTATGGCCCATTGGCATTCAATGTTGCCTTGAAGTCTCGGTCTACGCCTCTTCTCCTTGCATCAGCCACGGCGATGCGAGAGTACAGCAACTTACCGAAAGTGAAGCAGATATCTTTCAGCTCTTGCCCTCCTGTCGTGAATCATGTGCATATTTTGCAGTTTCCAGTCGTCAGGCAGACTCTTCTCCCACTTGTTCAAGCAGCCGTCCAGCTGCACCGCAATGGAGTGATACTCGTCTTGCTGGTACAAACGGGGGAGTCCCAGCTTGATCGCGATGTTGTTTCTACTCTGCACCTGCGCCTGCGCCAACTGAATGTGAGTGCCAATCTCATGCAGTTCAAGCTCCCATGCGTGAAAGTCGGCTCCATGGCCAGTCGGCAGTGCTGGTCTGCTTGGCAGGGGGATAGCTGTCAGGGCTGTTGACTTTCCGAGCGCCCAAGAGGAGCATCTAACAAATATTAGATTCGTTTCGTACTTGCTCATGTTGTGTGATTGAGACCTACCGCTCCAAGGCAACACAGCTAGCCCAGACCTTTTGTCGCAAATCTTTGTCGGCATCACCAGATGACGCCTCTTCACATGTATGGCAAACCATGTTCTGCGCGATTCGAATTGCCAGAGTCGCCGTCATCGATGTTTTTTGCTGGTTGTTCGTACAATGAAGATAACGATTCATCAGTAACAAGCACTGAACCAGCTCGAGCGAGCCGGGCTTCCAGAGGATTGCCTCGGGTCGCAGCAATGCCCATGCGCGTTGGAAATAACGGTTGGCCTCATCGTCTCGCTTCTGCATAGGGATGGCTTCTTGTATCTGCACCGCCAGGGCGAACACAATGTTCAGTGTGCTGAGCCAAACGTCACGATCCACGTCTATTGGGGTGCCGGATCCACTGTAGAAGGCATCGTAGATCCGGGAAAATCGCTGCTGGTCAAGCACAGGCTCCACGGGATGCACATGATGCCAGTATATGCCAAGTAACCTGTCAGCATAAGCTCGAGGCAACTCAGAAGCAAAGTCAAGTACGACGCTTCGTGGCAGCTCTCCTACATCCCCGAACAGCGGCGCGTCGACAAACGGGACAAGACTGCAGGTGGTGTCTGGGCTCAGCCCGGCTATCTTGTCGATTGTCGAGGAGACTTGTCCGGCAAACCGCCCGTGTGCGGTGTAGAATGCCCGACTCTCGTCTCGATCCTCGTGAGCTTGCTCGAAGTCCGAACCCGATAGTCCTGTGGTAGACGGGGTATGGGTTGCAGAAGGGGTTTGCAGCGTGTATTCTTGCGCAGCCAGGGGCGAATTCCTGGCAGTAACGGGGGTTGGAGCTGTAATTGGAAGCTCAACGGAGACACGACTGCGGATGGGTCTGGGTTGACGGGTTGGTGCTTTTGCTCTTGGTCTGCCGCGACCCCTTGGCGAGGCCGCATCATGTTGGCTATAGTGACACGCCCTGCCTCTTTTCTGGCATCTCTCACAGACTGTACGTAGAACACGTGTAAGTGAGTCTCTTGCAGGTTATAGATGAAGATAGCTATGGACCACAGGAACGAAAACGAAGATCATGGACATTTCTATTACCTGGACGACCACCATCACACTTCACCTTGCTCGCCCGACAGGACTGACAGGCGTTGGCAATCTTCAGCCGCTCCCTGTACAGCGACAGAGGCACCTGAGCCTGGGCCTGCGCCTGAGTCTGGGCCTGAAGCTGTTGATCCTCGTCTTGACGGGCGGACATGACACCTTACTTGAGCTGAGTCTAGTGCTGTCGTCGGCAAGGCGTTCGGCACCCGGCAGGCACAGACAAAAGATAAGGTAATGAGGGGTTCAAAATAAGATCCGAAGACAGCGGAATGCAAGAATGTCCGGCGATGCTGGGAAGAGAAGGCGATGTCTCGTACCTATGTCCGTGTTGTGATGGAAAGGAACTCCCACTTCGGTACGGCACGTCATTGGCCACAGCGGACTTCGGAGTATAACTCAGTGGCTGACAAACCGGCACAGGCCAGGGATGCGCACTTTGGTCCAATCATGGTTGGATGCGGCGCTTCTTGTTTCGGCCATTGCAGCCAATAAGAGGCTGGTCCGATCTTTGGACAGAGGGGGGCAGGTACAAGGTGAGGTATGCTGTAAGTCCAAGCTCGGCGGTATTGGTTGATGTGCTCGGTATATATACCTAAGTAAAAGAGCTCGATATTGCTTCGGAGTTTCCTCTTTTCTCCCTCATGGAGCACAGCTGTTGATACGCGTCTCTGCTTGATTGTTCAGTGTTTTGCTTGTTCTTCTACAATGTCGAAAAGAGAGTCCCAGGACTCCGGATCGGCCACCCCGGTCGAGCCTGTCGAGCCTATCGAGCTTGTTGAGCCTGTCGACGCCGAAAAGAATATCGCAACCTCCCCATACAATGGCTCAGGCACGGTGGAGGATCCCTTCATCGTCGAGTTTCAGAAAGACGACATGAGCAACCCCATGAACTGGGGCCAGGTCAGGAAATGGTTCCTCACAGCTATTGTCACCTTTTCCGTGTTTGCTGTTACGTTTACGTCTTCGGCGTATTCCGTGTCAGCTGGTGAAATCATGACCGAGTTCAACATTAGCAGCACTGTCTTCATCACTGGTGTCTCTGTCTTCGTCCTGGGCTTCGCAATTGGCCCTGCAGTATGGGGTCCTTTGGTAAGTTTTGCTATATTCGCCCCGTCTTTTGAGACAAGACCAGCTAACTGATACTCTTTCTCTCATATAGTAAGTTTTGACGATCCGCATCCACTTCTATGCAACTCCCCACGACCGACCGCTCGAATGCTAACAAACTCACAAGATCCGAGCTCTACGGCAGACAAGTGCCCTGGATTATCTCTCATACTGCCATGGTCGCCTTCATGGCAGGCTCTGCCGGCAGCAAGAACATTGCCACGCTTATCGTCCTGCGTTTTCTTGCTGGCACCTTTGGAGGGTCACCTCTTGTCAACTCGGGTGGTGCTATCGCGGATCTCTTCCCTCCCGCACAGAGAGGCCTCGCCATGACGATCTACTGCGTCGCTCCCTTCCTTGGTCCCATTCTGGGGCCGATCGTTGGCGGGTTTGCCACTGAGAACATCGGCTGGAGATGGGTGCAGGGTATATGCACCATCTTTATTGGCGTTATAGGTATGTGTATTGAACTCTGTCTTGATCGATTGCTTGCAGAATAGGTCACTGATAGGGTTGCCCACAAATAGGCATCATCGGCGTCATCTTCGTCCCCGAGACGTATGGACCAGTGTTGCTGGCTAGGAAGGCGCATGCTCTGTCTAAGGCTGATGGAAAGGTCTACATCAGTGTCCTGCAGAAGAACCAGGGCAAGAAGCAGCCGTCAGAGGTGTTTGGGCGAGCCCTGATACGACCTTGGGTGCTCCTTTTCCGCGAGCCCATTGTCCTCATTGCCTCGCTCTACATGGCCATCATCTACGGCACCGTCTACATGTTCCTGGGAGCCATGCCCATCGTCTACAACGAGCTTCGCGGATGGAGCCCCGGAATCGGTGGACTCTCCTTTCTGGGCATGGCTGTTGGCATCATCATAGGTCTGGGATATGCCATCTGGGACAACAACGGGCGCTATATGAGGCTGGACCCGGCGAAAAGAACGGCTGAGTCCCGTCTGCCGCCGGCCATTGCCGGTGCCGTCGCCCTTCCCATTGGCATGTTTGCCTTTGCATGGACAAACTATCCCAGCATCCACTGGTCCGTCAGCATTGTCCTCTCGGCGCCGTTTGGCTTTGGCGTCGTCCTCGTCATCCTGCCCATCGTCAACTACCTGATCGATGCATATACGGTGTATGCGGCCTCTGTCCTGGCAGCAGCAGCAGTCTTCCGCTCCATCATGGGCGCAGTATTCCCATTGTTTACTGACCAGATGTACCACAACCTAGGAATCCATTGGGCGAGCTCCATCCCGGCGTTTCTGACGCTGGTCTGCATGCCCTTTCCATTCTTCATGTACCGCTACGGCGCAGTGGTGAGGGAAAAGTGCAAGTATGCTGCCGAGGCCGCTGCGATTATGAAGAAGATGCAGGGGCGATAGATGACGAGATGATGGATGACGAGATGATAGATGACGAGGTGATAGATGTCGGGGCGCCAGATGTCGAATTCTCGAAGGAGTGGAAATATACCGTAGATTGCTATATCTAATAGAGAGGATAGTTCTCTACTATACACAATTAGAACCTTTTAATATCTGCCACTTTCGAAGATCCTTATCGCTTTCTACTTGAGAAGATGCAATTCGTGGACTTCAACAACAGTCCAAAGTATATGCTTGTGTTATTTTGCTTCCTTGACTCTGTCTCCAGTCCTCCAGTGCTCCCCATCATGTTCTATTCTCGGGTTATTGGAGCTTGTAAACATTCATCGAATTCATCCACGGAATCATGTTACACATGCACCACGCATGCTACACCCGGTGGAGGCTGTCTCTCATATGTCAGCCACCTGTCACGTTACAAGCGTCAAATCTCTATATTACACTCTGATTCACACTCTATTTCTTCTCGCTTAGTTTCGCTTTCAGTTTTCCCAGGGCATCAGCAACCATTGCATCTACATCATGGTCCCAGAGCTGATGGCTTCGCTCCAATATCTCGCGACTTATGGGCTCCTCCTGCTCGGCGCTCTTCCTGGTAAAAAGCTGAGCAACACGCCTGCTGCTCTGAACAAGCCATTGCGCCCGTTCGTAGCGCGCCTCGCTGTATACCTTGAGCCCCTCAGATATCTCAGACAAACCAACTGGCGCCCCTGAATTTTCCCGGTCAGCCAGTGCGGCCAGAATCTCTGCCAGGACCAGCGAATCCTCCATGCCTGCACCGGCGCCGCCGCCCTGGTTGGGAGTAGACGCATGCGCCGCATCTCCGGCCAAACACATACGGCCAAGCGCATACGAGGGAGCGGGCGAGTCGAGCATGTCAAATATGGCCCACTTGCCCAGCGTCTCCGGCAGCAAGGATATTAGCGAGCGAACGGTAGGGTTGAATTCAGTAAAGGCTTTCTCAGCCTCGGCCCTAGTTGCAGGCAGGACGTAGCGCTTCACATCATCCTCATCATTGCCCTTTTCCGACTTGCTCCTGGTATCGGACCAGTCCAGGGGGTCCATGACGAACACTTCGAGATGCATCATGTTTATGCCAGCCAGAGGAACGCTCAGAACAAACCCACCGGGGCCGAGATATCCAATCGCTCTCGACGTCTTCCCCGATCCAAGGGCTTCTTCTACTTTGGCCATGGGAACCAGGCCCCGAAATGCGAGTTGGTGGGCGTATTGCGCTCTTGGGGCAGATGGTCCGGATCCGAACATGGCGGAACGCACTTGCGATCGAATCCCATCGCAGCCGACGACTAAAAGAAGGTGAAGTATTAGCTCATCCACGTCTCAGGGCCTTCTTACTGCAAGCTGTCGTATGTGTGAAAGACTTTAGGTGTTAGGGAAGATCACTTACCAACATCCGCTTCAGCCGTTGATCCATCTCGGAACGTGAGGACTGCCCTGCCTTCACCGTCCTCCTCCACCGACTGTAGCCACTTCAGGTGTTGAACACGCTCCTGGGGTATATGCTTAACAAGCTGGCTAACAAAGTCGCATCTACGAGCCGCTTTATAACCCTTTCCCATACGGAGTTGGAACAGCAAGCCATCGTCGCCAGACGCCTCGGCATCATCCCCTTTTCGCACATGCACTCCATCGACAAAGCTCAGAAATCCTCCTTCAGCATTCGTTGCCACGTCAACGTAGCTCTGAAGCACCCGAGGATCCAGAGCCTCCATGGCCCGTTCCGCATTGGGGGTGAAGTGTATGCCGACGCCCAGCTCCCCGAAGCTCGCGGCTCGCTCGTAGATGGTAAAGTTGATGTTCCGTCGGAGCAGTCCTACGGCCAGAGCCAAGCCTGTGAGACCGCCGCCGACGATGGCTACTTCGAGGCTCTTGGCCTTGTGGCCGTTGATGACGTTGATGCCATTGGGATGATTGTTCGGTGCTTCCATCTTGTTATTGCGTGTCAGATCGCATGAGCGTGAAAGTGGAAAACGAGCGTATTCCTTTGACTGAGAGGAATGGTCTTGGGTCAGCCTTGTACTACGTCTTGTACGCATACATGTATCTTCAGCTTATAAATGCCATATAATCCTGTGCCTTGTCGGATTTGTATTGCGTATCGTCTGCTTGGCGTTTACAGGATCCTGTGTGCCGTTTGTCACTCCGACGTCTTTCGGAGTTGTCGTCACGGAGTAAATATTGGTGTTTGCTTTATCTGTTGTAAGCCGGAGTCCGGAGTTTCTTCATAAGGCGGGAAAATGAAATGAGAATCCCATGAATTGCGCAACGAACTTGTGATACGTTGTCGTATGACTGTCTATTGCTCAATGGCTTCAGTTCTAAAGGTTATCGAACCATTGGCTGAATTCACCAATACTACTGTAGTTGGCCTTACTGGAGTTAAAGAAACAAACATTTGCGATTGTTCTATCTTTCTGAAGTCTATGACAGAAACTCTGAAAAAGAGCTTGACAGCTCAGGGGTAACATGCTAGCAGAAACTTACCCTACAACACCTATATAAATTGTTATAAATCACATGCTTAGTTACCTAACTAGCTGCATATAGGTCCTGTTATCCTTATGCATACCTTCTAGCTAGCTTAGTCTCTTTATTACTCTTTTAATTATATTATAATACTTATTATTTATTATAACACTTAAGTTTAATATTTAATTATTTATTTTAATTACCTTATTCCTTAATATAATAGTAATTACTTAAGCTATATTAACTTTCTTATTATTTTATAATTATAAAATCTTAATATATAGCTTTATTATAATTTTTTTTTTTTTTACTTTAAAGTAAATTTATTATTATAATTAGCTATATATAATAAACTAGTATTCCCCTAATTAGTAAGAATAGTCTTTTCTAAAGGATAAACCTAAGGTTTAAGGGTTTATATTAGTAGAGAGGTTAAGTTAGATATATTAGCAGTAACTTATTATATAGCTAGGCAATACCTTTAGTAAATATCTAGGTTTTAATCTAATTATATTATTATTAATATACTACTTATATAATAATAACTATCTATTTAAACTATTTAAATAAGTAATATAAATAAATCCTTATATAGCTAGTTATCTTAAG